GAAAATAGGGGTCAATAGAATAATCATTAAGTTATTATTGATATATAAATTAGTGCATCAATCGCTTAACTGTCGAGCATCTTCTCACTTTTCATTTTTCATCGTTTCGAGCTTTACTCTATCAAATTTCATCGAGTATAGTATTTACTATGCGACTAAAATTTAGACACACAAATTTAGAACCACAATTTAGACGAACCTGCTGCGTTTTTACTTTCTACCGTTTCAATTTTTTTAGGGGGATAAATATTACACGATATATCCCAGATATTAAAACGTTTGTTTTACGAAATTAATGAAACAAATGTCTATTTTTTTTTATTATCTATCTTATCTCACGTACAGATTCTACATGCACTTTCCACAGTAGTTATGTCCTATGTGCGAGTTATTGCGCCTAAGTGGAAGGAATTCGATCAGGTTAAATGCGATTACGCATTTACGTATAGAACCACATCCCCTCGTATATAATTATTGCGCCGACGAGCACACGGTTTTCTGTATGCGCTTAATAGAATTCGGCAATAAATCGGGCGCGTACGCCATTCTGACATTAAATTAACTCGTGGATGTGGAGAGAGAGATTGGCGCGCGAAAACCGAGTGCTATAAAACAAGAGCGAACGGCGGATCGTCCGAAATCAACAGATTGCGTCGTTTATCACCCACTGTCCGAAAATCTATGTATACGATATGCGCAATTTATTCGGAACGACCATTTAACGGTACGCAGCGCATGCAGTTTCGATTTTAAATACCATCTACGGCATACTTAACCGAACGCAACCGCGCATAACAACGTAATTACTGCGACCTCGTCAGGATACAAAAAGACGAGGGCAAAAAAATTTCAATGCGGGGTTAAATAATTTAAAGTAATTTGTTCGGGATGTACGTACGAGATTACGTGTTGCACAACCACGGCACAATTACTTTAACTTTTTATATTTTGGAGATTAATTAAAAGTCGAAAATATACTGATACGGAATTATAGTTGTAAGAGATCAAGCTAACGATGTCGGGTATATATTTTTAATACAAGTTGTTATAAATAATATATGAATTTATATGAATTGATATTTGAGTGAAGTATTTTAATATTAATTAGTTCCAATGGAAAGGCTATGAAAGACTGTCGCGTTATATTGATGATATATGTATAATTAAAAATCTTGGAAGAGAACGCAGACTTCAAATTTTATTTTTTTAATGTCAGAAGAGAAAAGAGAGGGAAAAAATAACACACTTAAATATTAACTAGTTTTTCCTACTAATTATGATATAGATAATAATTTATTTTTATATTTCACATATAAATGTACGTACCATATATAAATCTTCTTCCATGTATGATCTTCATGAGATATGAACATCATAAAGGAATTTTATCCTTTACATGCTAAAATATGTCGATATTTTATTTACAATTTTATTTCTCTTTTTTCTTATTTTTACTGCTTTTTTTAAGCAATTACAAATTCAATCAATTGTATTATACTCGATACCAAAGTTGCGCCAATAACGTTAATATATTATTCTTTATGATGTTCTCTCAATTGCGTTTTCTGAAAATCTTATTCAGAATGCTTTCCAAAAAATAAATTAAAGAAGATAATATTCTTATTAAATTTGGAGACAATTCTCTTTTACAAAAATTACATTATTATTGCTAATCAGTTTTTAGCAAGTTTATGTAGCAGTAAAATTTCAAATAATTCATGTATCTTGGAATTATATTATTATTGCATAATTTACGATGTGATATACATTCCAGGATTAAATATTTATATTAATCTGCCTTTCCATTTGTAAAAAAAAGAGCAGTGGATCTGATATTACAATTATATATTCATAATTTTAATTTTTTAAATATGACTATGAGCATAAAAGTAATGAGCTCAAACATCAAATAGTTTAAAAGAATAAATATTACGGAAAATTTATATATGCATATTATATTTTATTGCTGCGTCTGTTACAATTGCAAATTTAAATTTTATATGTTAATAATAATAAGAGAAAAGGCTTTTAACTTTTTCATTATTTCCTGATATTTTCTGTTTTTACACATTATGTACATATGATATATATGTAATTTTTATTACAAATCCATTTTGCACTTCAACGATTCAGATAAGAAATAATTTAGTACTCACCGAAACGATGTGTATAAGCAGCAGTATAGGATTACATCAGCACGAAACCATTGTAGAATGTCTCGATCTATAAAATACAAATATATCTAAATTATAGCAACACTTAAAACGAATATTTCAAAATATGATTATTGCGCGGACGATATAGAATATATGCCTAACAAGATATATCTATATTATATTTTTGTAATAACTTTACTTAATTTTTGTAATAAATAAATGATAAATCGCGTGCCTCTTCGTTACTTTTGCTGATTCGAAAGATATTCACTCGCAAGAACACGGTTAGTTATCGCGCGCGCGCTAATTACCAGAGGATACATGATGACGCTGTGGCACTTTACACGGCGTTCTCTCGGTGTTAATCGCACGTGATGTTAATGCACTTTACTACGCATCGAGACAGAAGAACGACGCGAAAAGACACGATCATACAAAGATACGAATCGCTTAACTCTTGCGACGTCTCGTCAGTTAGTGAAGCGAGGGAATTCGGAGCGGAGGTATAATAGGACTCTGGCGAATCACCGAATTTACGTTGATAGACAGCCGTGTCGCTGTCGCGAGCGTGGACATGCGCTCGCGAGTCGTTATAATTAATCGTTGGAATCAATAGCACGCGGGTCGATAATTGCTAAGCGTTTGCGGAAAATGATCGCATATATGTATGGCGCTTTCTGGTACCTCTCGCATTCGCGTTACGAAGGGAATGCGACATCGCAGGCAAAACGGTCGCTTGCCTCGAGTTTCAGTCGCACGTAGGTCATCTTGTTTGCACAAGATCTTGTTTACAGCAACGCGCGCGTCAACCAGTTTATTGGTCCCACGAAATATTTAATATAGAATAAATATACCGAATATTCCGTTTTCCTTTGTATTTCGAACTGATAGATAATCGACGTACCGGGCTTGAATCGCTCGATTCAAGATCACTTGTACATTACCTCGCAATCTCAATACGAAAACGCAAGTTGAACGTTTAAATAGCTGAAAATTTAAAGCACGACGCGGAATGTACGACGCCAAGTCGACGCCAAGTACTTTCCATAAGTAACGCGAGTAAGCATTAAATATATAACAGTCGTCCGTGAATATGTATAGTAATATAGTAAAAGTACATTTTGTAATTTCCATTTTCGGTTACTTCTCGAGAAGTGTACTTCGAACGAATAAATCGCGAGATAACTGTGTCTGTGAACAATCCGTCGATATATACGCTCACGAGAATCGCAAGGGTTAATTGATCGTTATTTTCAATCGTTGAGAATGATTGCGTTTCAAGGAATAGACACACAGTTGGCAAAGTGAAAAAATCTGCCGGTTAAAGTTTTTGTGTTAAATAATCAAGATATTCATGGATAAATTTAACACATGTCTGCTAATCTTCTTATAAGAATTTTATCTTTTTATTTTAACTTTTTTTTTTGTTGAACTATATAATGACTTCATTCAACCAAGTTTACTTCAAGCAAGTTTGCTTCAAGCAAGTTTAACGCAATATAATCTCATTTCAAGATTTCCACGTTGAAACTAAAGATATTTTCAAATTAAGAACTTTTTCTTTCTCTGTGTATCATGTTGAATTAGCACAAAAATTTCAGCGGACCGTTTGGGACATGTGATTTATGTTAAATTTTACACAAGTTTCCCAATATCTGTGTACATATGCGACGACACGTGGAGTGGCGCGCGTTCGTCTTGCTCGGGCTTCGCCGTGCGAATATGATAAAGCGAACACGCGTACGCATCGCGCACCGACGTACAGCGCGTTTGTCACCATATAAACAATCGTAACTGAACGGCGCGCCGAGCATTGTGAGCCATCCGCGATATGGACATGATGTATTTAAGGTATTATAAAATAAATGTACGATAATGTATCGAATATGCCGTTCCTTGCATTACGAAATAATTGCGAATAAACAGGCCGTTACGCGTTTTATGTGACGCTTGTTCGAAGAGTAGCATTTACGTCACTTTGAACGAAAAGGTATTTACGTGAATTACTCAAGCTGTAAAAATTCAGTAACAGATCGATATGATTTACGGACAACGCAAATTTTATGCATTGGCCAACTTCGATTGCTTGTAACTTGAAAGCTTAAATTGCATTAAACTTTATTTTTTTTTTTTTTTTAGACATTTTAATTTTATTTTTATATTTATATTAAATTTTTTATACAACTTATTTATTATTGGTTTCAATTCTAACTCGTCTACAGAATACGCTATTAAATTATTGTATAATGGCGTAATTCTGTATATAAAACGCTGTGTCTAAAATAGTCTTCGAAGGAGCGAAAATAAATTCTCCCGTGAAGCAAAATTCGAAGCTAATAGATAAGAGGATCTTATTCCTTAATTAACTTCCAGTGGACTTAAGTAGAATCTTAATTTAAGATTCAGTTACTTCAAAATCGAATATTGGAGGATTATAAAAAATGAACGGTGTCCGGTTCGTTTTCATTAAGGAGTATCGATTGCAAACTAGAATATTAACATATGGATTACCTGTGATCGCTAGCTCGAGGAAGCTGCTTTATTTTTTAAATCAATAAAGTACGTGTATATAATAAGAACAAAATAGAGTGACGCACGACTCAAATGTTCTGAATCAGAAATTTAGTATATTATAAATAATAAAGATTCTTCCTATAAAGATATGATCCTATCAACGAAAATACTGTTCATAATCATAAAAATACATATCACATTTCTCGCGTTATTACGATAAATTTTATATTTTAAAGGTAGATATTTTTCCATGTGACAAATATCATATAAAATTTTTACATATAAAAATAATTTTCAAAAAATTAAAAAATACGTTTTCTCCTTTTCCAGCGCCTCCGCAAAAAGTGGCGATCAGCAATCACCCGAAGAAACAGATAATCGAGGTGAAGGTGGGCGAGTCGCGACGCTTAGAGTGCGTCGTTAGCGCGGCCAAGCCGGCCGCCTCGATCATTTGGTACCGCGGAAACGTACAGCTCAAGGGCGGCGACACCACTATCGCCGCAATCTCCATCCAGGGCGGTAAGTAGCTACGCCATCCTGTTATGCACGTTGATATTCGATTACGATAATCCCGCGCACGAATGAATATATCATGGTTATTACGCGACGAGGATTAAATGACCGCCGCGCCGCATTATACGTATTCGCCAGATAAGCGTAATTCTGTTCTAATAACGCGGTATCATCTAATTAAATTTCGCCACTGAATATAAATAATTATTTCGGTTACGCACAAATTTTTGAGTTGCCGCTACCTCTTGTCAATATTGATTTTTTTATATTATATTTAAGATAACTATTGCAAACATGCCGTTTATATATATATATATATTCGTTTCTTTTTACATTTTTATTTTTGGAAATATGGGAAGATTGATTAAATTCTTCCTTTATATAAATAATTTTTATTAATAAAATGAGTGATAATAGGAGTTATCAACAGATTAATAAAGTTGCATTTTTAATAAATATGTTATATCGATGACAAGTGTATCTAGGAACACAAATCTTCTTACTTAATCATTTTTTAAAGGATCTACTTTATTGGCCCAAAGCGGTTTTATTCCAATACATATTTCTTTATTTTTCTTTATTTTTGTGTCTTCGTAATCAGAAGAAAAGTTGAAAAAGAAAACATTTTCTATTTGTTTTTTGACACATGAATAAGTATTAAATACATGAATATAAAAGAGTCTTATATGATTACAGTTATATTCAAAGACTCAAGAAAAGGCGTCTAAAAAAACCAACGTTTTTTGTATGTTCTTTACAATCTTTTATATTGTTCAAGTTCAATCCAATCCATCGTAATCACAAGCTAGACGATACACCGTGAATATATTCAGTACTAAAATCAGACTAAACAAGCGAGCGTGAATGAATAACTTTAGGAAATGAATAGCTAGCGTTGCCGATCGCTCTCGTTGAATAAGCGAGTCGTTCATTCGTGTTCGTTCGCGCACGTTAGCTCGGCTGGCTTGGCTCTAGATCCGGCTTAGCCACCGGCGCACGATATTCAGAGGCGAATAAAGTGATCTCGCGTTTCGTCGGAAGCTCACCGCGACGCGCCGCGCCGCGCGTAAAAGTGGGAAAAAGATTGGGACGGCGCGCGGCGGGCGTCGAGACGCCTCTCCCTCTTAGCGCCGTTTCCAGTTGCCAAGAGCATCTTCGATCGATCCCGTGACACACAACCCTGGCCGCGTTCCAACTACCGAAATTGACATTCCTGTCTCCTCGCTCGCGCCGCTGCCGCTTGCGTTTTTACATTCGGCCGGAGACAGCCCGACGAGACATCAAACGATTGCATCGGCCGACTCGCCGTTTTACCACCCAACCGGGGCGCGTACCCGGGGCTAAAATATATCCCCGATAAGAACGTCGATAAATAGGGCGGACGAAAACGAAAAGGGACGCGACGCGACGCGATACGATGAACAGAGGGGGTGTTCGTGAAATGAATACGACTAAAATTTTTGCAAATGCGAGTTCGTAGCGCGGTCAGACAGTAGATAAGAAAAGTTTCTGCGGAACCTGATGCATAAAGACGCTTCATTAACTATTTCGATGAGCAGGAATGAACGAATGAATATCCAATGAATGCAGAAACTGCTATTTCTTGTCGGTGATGAAATATTAATCAGTATCTAGTGGAAGGAAGAAAGGAAGAGAGAAAAGAAAAAGTGAGAGAAGAGGAGATGACTTAAATTTTACAAAATGTAAAGCCGTTACATAGCGTCAAATAGTTTTAATTAAAAAATAATAATAAAAGAAACTTTTTAACATAAAATAAGCATTGTATAAAAATATTAGAATATCACTGCAGCGTTTGCATAAAAACTTCAGTTGACTACCGTTCTATTGTTTAATTAAACGTATGATTGAGTTCAACGTATGTACATTGTAGAAATTTAGCTGCAACGTTTCACGAATGCTGCGTATATCCAGCTCGCACGCCCACCTTCATAGAGAAGGAAAGCACGCACTTTTGCGAACATCGCGTAACACGAATTTATTATTGGAAAATACACGTAAACAGACTGCGATGAATTTATAAGTATTTAAAACAAATTTGCCCTTTACATTTAGCGGATTATTCGATGGAAGGTAAAATGAGTATTTTGATATTATTTTACATTACCGTATTTTAATATTATTCCTTTCGGTGTAACGTGAACATCAATTCCGTCGTAATTTGTAATATGTTTTAAAAACAGGAAGTAACGATTAAATTCTGCAAAGCGCCGTATATAATGAAAATCGCGTGTCACCCATGAACTTATCTTTGTAAGTCGTGAATATGGCTACTCTTACGAAATTTACGACACAATAACGTTTTTTTTTACTCGCGCGATAAAAATCGCCCCCATTCCTCGCGAGAAATTGTCTAATACTTCGAATGTCTTATCCGACGTTAGCGTAACGTCACTCAACGCAACTTTACATTTCCGTAAGTAATTGATGCGAGAAACGTCTGAATCGTCTTAACGCTATACATCTTAGATGTGCGCTATTACAATCTAACAACTGCGAGGCTGCGAACAGCGTGAAACGCAGGTCTACGTGCAGAAATAAATCGCGCGATCGTCGTCGTTTCCTTTGTTACGCGTGCTCGCATTCTCGCTCGTCATTCCAGCAGCAATCTTTCTCCGACACCGTTACGCATCCAGTCAAACCCCGTCGCCGTTGCGTTGAGAGCATTTGTGTTCCCCGTCGTGTACTCCGAAAACTGTGTAGATTGCAACACGCCGGAATAAAGAGTCGTGCGTCGCGCTTTTGCGTAAAAGCTTGTCCGGAGCTTTTAACGGAGATTTAAAAAGAGAGTGTACGTCGCGAAATACGTCACGTATATCTTTCTATTCTAACGTAACGTTGCGTTTACTCGCAACTTTAATGTAAATTACGGGTTATCTTCATGCACGTCGCCCATGAATAATTCAACTTTCTCCGCGAGTCTCGAATTAATTCGACTATCTTTGCAGATAATCGAGTGATTAAGGCGCTTTGAATTTTGATTAAGAATCAATATCGCGCGCTGAAATTGATAAGCGTTAAAACGTTTGCCAATAAATACGCGATGTAGACGAGTATATTCTATAATTTTCTTAAATGTATATACTTAAAATTAATTACAAAATTTAAAAGAGCCACAAAATATACGTAATATAAAGGGAAAGCAATTTTTTGCTTTCGAAAAATTTTGGAAAGTTAATCAATAAAATATCAATGTAAGTAAAAAATTAAAAAAAAAATTAGAGGGAAGTGGGCTACAAAGCCCCTTAGTTATCCCGACCTAAAAGGTCTTTTCTATAACAATTCCCATTCAATGCGTGCAACAAACAATAATGAAAAAAAGAAAAAGTGGTTAACGTCGCTGCTATGAGATAAGAGTAAATGGCAACTGGAATTCATACGGCAATTTGCTATTCCGCATTCCGGAAATTCTCTGAAGTAACATGAAAGACAAAAAAAAAACGATAATCGAAGGGAAATAGTTAATTTCGCGGCTATAAAGTGGAAGCAGGTGGCAGGTGGTATTTATTTCGCGATTTGCGCGGACAATGTTGCAGATAAGGAGAAGCCCGGAGAGACGAAGGAATTGCTCAAGTACGACACTCACGGTTCCATTACCATCATGCCTACGGCGGACGATAATGGGATGGATTACACCTGCGAGGCCAGCCACCCGGCAATACCCATAGACAGGCCTATGCGGGCCACCATTAAACTTTCCGTTTTCTGTAAGTACGGCGGACATAGGTATGCTATATAGAAACGCGCTCGCGTGATCGCTTATGCCGTGGCGTGTCAACGTACTCGACATATTGTCGTGAAAAAAGCATAGCGAAAATTAGAGTTCGTATCGCAGCGTTACCGAAATCACCGAAACGAATCGACATTAACTCCAAGTTTACGTTCTCTTTAATTTTACGACTCTTTATTTAAGGAAACTGACGCAAGTCTCATTTGTACGTGAACAGAAAGAATGCTTTTTATGTAATATAAGATAGAATAACAAGAGTCAAATTAGAACTGCAGTAACTTTGTAAATTTAGAGATTGCGGTAACAGCAAAATTATTTAGCGTCGCTTTCAATTATCACTTAAATTGATGTAACAAGTTAGGTTGAATTTATTATGTAATATATAATCCTCGGTATGAATTGCAATTCGCCTGATATACCGAATTAGAACGCGCGATGCAGATTCAGGTATCCGTACCTATAGAGCTCTTCTCAAATCTCGCGTGCACGTCGTCTCTTTGAGTTATTCGAGCTGAGACTGACTTTCGATCCCAATTATCCGGATTATGTTTTCAAATAAGTTTCGTTAGCTTCTAATAACGGCGCAATATACCGACGTCTACCTGTTTGCCTGCGCAGATCCACCTGGTCCACCGTACATAGAGGGCTATACCGAGGGTGAGACGGTGCAGCGCGGTCAAAACGTGGAGCTCGCCTGCCGATCACGCGGCGGAAACCCGCCGGCGGAAATTGTCTGGTACAGGAACGACGAGAAGGTTACGGCGGCCCATCGCCGTGGCCCCGGCGCCAGCGAGAACGTGTACTCGTTCATAGCACGAGCGGAGGATGACAAGGCTCGGTACAGATGCGAAGTCTCCAACATCATGAGCGTGCAGCCTATGAAAGTGCACGTCGATCTCACCGTGCTTTGTAAGTGCGCGCGCGCGCGCCTGCGATAATTATCCGCAATTAGGTAGCGGTAAAACGTTGCAAATTGCATTTAGAGAAACGTTCCGAGAAACCCTTCATTCGTTCTCTGTATTACCACCCCTCATATAATCGCATGTTATTATCGTCTCTTATGTTAATCGAATCGAATAATGGGCTTTGATTTTTAATACATTTAGCAGCGCGTGTATTTTAATTCCGCCTATGTAATTATATTTTATGATCCTTTTTATATTAATACGAAACGAATCGCGCAAAATACCTCAATTTAATTTATCCACAGTTACGTTCGACGATTTCAGATTTTATTTTGTTTATCGTACTGCATTAATTTTAAAGGGCGATTAATTTTAACTGATATAAATTTAAATGAATCTCCTCCAAAACTGGAGTAAAAAAGAATAGAGAAATGTGGAAATTTTATTACTCTTACGACGTCATTTTTTTCCGTTCTTGAATCTTGCAGAATGCGTTATATTCTCGCGAGTGATACTTGAGACGTATTTAAGGTGTTAGAATATTAACGTTGCCTGGTGCCTGTCTGTGGCACTCACCATTACTTTACCGCAAAGGCGTAGTATTGCACGACGTAAGGTTGCACAGCGTATGGACGATCTCTTGCCGACGGAACAACCGCATAAATAATTCCGCTTCTCTATTTTCGTCGAGGCTACGTTCCCGTACCCAAATTGAAATTTTGCTAACTTTATGTTCGCGTGATATATGTGGATAAAAGCTCGTGGAAAATATCGTGCGGCTGGCTTATCGTATACTCGCGATTAAGGGCGAATGCTTGTCGACCGTATAGTTGCAGTTATTGACAGCTTGTCGGTAAACTTTTATTTCATATTTTTACGGCCGACGTTTCAAAAATGAAAATTGACGACGCAGCGGAGCGACGTTAGTTTCTCGAAGCTCGGTGACTTTCAATTCCCGCGCGGAGATTTGCTTAATATAGACTATCAAAATTACAATATCGTTATTTTTTAAATATCTGTTTCTGATATTCTCTATCGTGTCTCTATCGTGATATACATATTTTTATCCGCTAAGCGTTTGTATTTATTCTATCTGTTCTTGCTCTAAATATCTAAATAAATCAAGATATGTCTGTCTATCCTCATTCTTTATCTATTATTTCCACCGTGAATTTTTTTGAACCACTGTTCGGATGAACTAATTCGAACTTTTTTCACGCGCTTACTTTTATACGATCTTTCTTACAGTCGCCCCCTCCGAGGTGAACATCAACGGCCCGACCGAGGCGAAGGCGGACGACCAGGTGCTCATTACTTGCACGACGGAGAACTCGAATCCGCCCGCGGATATAAAGTGGACGGTGGACGGGCATAATTTCGAGAGCAACGCCTCGAAGACGGAGCCGGCGCCGAACGGTGGCTGGATCACCAGCTCGAACGTGACGTTCAGCATTAATCGCAAGAGCCGCAGCATCGTCGTCATCTGCCACGCTTCCAACGCCAAGCTCACGGAGAACGTGGTCGGCACGCACACCATCAACGTGATATGTGAGCGTCCCTCCCTTCTCTATCGTATACAATTTTCGCTAGAGCACTCGGTATACACAGTATCGCGCGTTGCAGTTGTAACGAGAGACTCCACGCTTCTCGCCCGCGGCGAAAATTTAATTTCCGCCTGGCGTCAAAGGACCGTGCTACGGATGTACCGGAACTACTATATGAGATATCTTTCGGAAGGACCTTTCAATTGCCAATTGACGATATTAAATTTTTCAACGGCCGCGCATCAAATAAATCTTCGTTGAGATAAAATCGAGATAGGATTAACTTTAATTGAAATGAAAAACGAAATTTTCAGTGGATTATATTTACGCTCTTCGGGCTTCATTTGTGAATGCGATTAATCCTCTTCGTGGATATTCTCGTTAAAGAGGAACCCGCCCCATTTTAATATTTTCAAATAAACATAAACATTATTTTCAAATAAACTTGAACATTAATATAATTTTAATAACATTTGTATGGAGACTGTATTTCTCCTTTTAACTTCCGGTCAAAAATGCTATCTTTATCACAGATAAATATACAATTCCGACGCGTATGATAAAATAGGTTTAAAGCTGAGTCTATCTAAGATAAGTTAAAAAAAAAAAGATTGATTCCCTCAAGACGAAATATTGTAATGCACACATATTTTTTCTTCGAGTACATCGTTGAAATAATAGATATCGCGTTCCATCTGCTTCAACGTTCTACAATTTGTAACATTGTTTAGAAAATTCGGTAATGATGTTGTTGCCCGTGTTGCCGTTGACATCTTCGCGACACGCGGCAACAAATTAATCGACCGCGCCGCCGTTATCCGTGGTCCCGAAACACGCATACGAACACGCGATCTCGCGAATCCGATGGTCAGAATTCATTTAACATATTCGACATTACGTCATGTTGCGCGCATGTGATACACTCTCGCAATAATACAACCGTAATCGACCGACATTAATTTCCGCCATAAATAAATAATCCTTGTATAATCAACTGCGTTTTCAGCTTGTAATTACATGCATTAAAATTATTCGCTGTCTGAATATACTAAACAATTAGTGGCCTCCAATCCATATACCGCTCGGCAATCCGAGACTGCAATAACGAATGCCACTCGTGTTCAATAATGTAACTGGATTCAACAAATAATCCTTACAAATTATCGTTAAGCCCTTTACCGAATGTTGAACGAGCAATGAGACGAAGTCGACAAAAAAGGCGGAGAGACGAGTGATAAAAGCGCGAAGTGTGACGTGATAAAAATGAAGGAGAAAAATTCGTGTTCCTTTTTTTCACTATACACATTCGTCTCTGGCTTACAAAATTTTTCTACTGCATAAATCCATTTCTTTTCATTCGCGTCCTGGCTTTTGATGGAGATATTTTTTAAATCGTGCGAAAGTGTAATAACAAATGTCAAAGATTCATAATGCGTGAATAGTAAAGTAATTAACAAGTAATTGACCGATTGTGATCGCGCGAATTTATTTGATACATCTTGCAGATCCACCTTCGAAACTAACTGTCACTGGATACGAGGAGGGCACGACGATAGTCGCCGGGACGGTACTGAAACTCATGTGCACCGCTACCGCGGGTAATCCATTGGCCACGTTAACATGGTACAAGAACGACCGTAAGGTACGTGAGCTCGTACAAGGGATCGTCGTAAATCTAGTTGTGGCGAATTATCACACAGACTCAAAAGAGACTCCAAAGCGCAAGAAAGTCTTTCCTCATTTTTCTAGCTTTAAAAGTTGCACTAATTTATTGAAAAAACAACAATAACGGAAATAACTATTCTTTATTAGATTATCTAGTCTCAGAATGTTTTTCTCCGAACTAACGCTTGATTAAATATTCGAAAACGATCTTGTGCATCCACAGATTAAAACTCCTTCCTATTTTAAATAAATAGAAAATCTTAAAACAAAACTCGCTTTTTGAAATTGTAATAATTATTAAAATTAACGATATTAACTCTTTCTCAGATGGAAATTTCAAACAAGAATGGTGAAAATTTATAACTCGTAAAAGTTATCCATTTTAAATGTGATTTTATATTTAAAACATTTTACAATTTATGGATTCATTTCTTGCACTTTTAAAGCTTTTCAATTTTTACGATCATTTTGGTTTCTACATTAATTTAAATATTTTGATGCCCGCCACCGCGTAGATCGTTATATTAACTTAACATTGTCATATATCGCAGGTACTCGGCACAGTGAGACAGCGCGGAAATCACGCTGTCTCGAACGAGCTGACGATGCTCGTCAACGCGTCCGACAACAATGCCCACGTGCGATGCGAGGCGACGAATTCCGCCACCGAGATCCCCATGCTCAAAGTTCTCGTGCTGAAAGTCTATTGTAAGATATGATACTCATCCCGTATATTCATTATCAGAATCCTTTTGTTGTGTTTTTATCGCGAGGCTTCACTTAGATCGAGGGAGAGACGTCAAGTTTCTCCGGTATAAGAAAAGCTAGCGCATAGACATGATTGAACGACGCTGTAATTACTCGCTTTTTCTTCAACGTCGCGTCGCGAGTCGCGAATCTCGGCGGCAGCTATACGGCAATATTTTAAACGGCGAACCGTCGACTTTTTTTCCACCCCCTTCAGTTCCGCCCGAGAGGGTGAAGATTAACCGCGAGCCCCAGGATTTTCATGCCGGCCAGGAGGGACGTCTAATCTGCGAATCGAGCAGCAGCAATCCCGCCGCTGAAATGTCGTGGTGGAAGAACGGGATACCGGTGCCCGGCGCCAGGAACAGCACCAAGCCCGGATTACACGGCGGCTACCTCTCGTCCGTTGAGCTCTCGCTGGACTTAACCGAGGACATGAACGGCGAGGTGTACACCTGCGAGGCGAAGAACGCCGAATTGGGGAGATCCAGTCACGACGCGACGACGCTGGACGTGCTATGTGAGTGTAGAACTAAGTAGATCGCTCCTAACAACATAATCTACACACCTGGCGAGAGATTAGCACGCATGCACGATCGGTGCCCGGCGCGCGAGTGCGTTCAACCCGGAAATCTCTGTGGAGCGCGAATGCGCGGTATAGTGCATCTCTCTCTCTTTCTCTCTCTCTGTCTACGATATATCCTGCATATATCGAATTACGCTTATATAAATTTATTTGCATTTTATCCGCGATATCTCGTATGTACAATAACAATCTGCGGCGTACAATAACAATCAATCGGGTTACAAATGAGTTGAAAAGAATGCAGAATATAGGTGAGATTGTGAAGGGAGAAAAATTAATCTGTTATTTAGTTTTATATAAACTTGTTGCAAAAATATATTAAAAATATACACCGATACGCGCGTGATATTAAAAAATTTTTATGAAATAGATACATACTATATAATAGATAGATATGTAAAAACAAACTTTTACATTTTTTTTCATACTTTTTAGAATTGTAATCCTGCTGCTCGAATATACAATAACGAATTGTTGAATTTTTCGTTTTTAATTGCATGGTTATCCGCAGGTAATGAAAGAAATGAAACTATGAAACGAACATTCAAAGTTGTGCATAAACGTGAAGAAAATGCAGCTATACAGTTTTACCAAATAGCAAGTTATAAAAAATGCCTCTTTTCCACGATAATACTTTTTTGAAAATTATATCAAATGTATGTCGACTCTCGAAGCTATTTTTTAACATCTTGCCCGATTAGATATGACGGAAGTAAAACACGATAACGTGACTTGCTTTTTCTTTCTTGTTCCATAGACAAGCCGATATTTTCGCCGTTAGACCCTTCCGAATTAACTGGCTCGGAAGGAGAGCCCTTTGTAATTTCCGTATCGGCGAGGGGCAATCCCAACACGACGGAATACACGTGGACGAGGGATGGTCTGCCGTTGGGTAGCAGCGGTAAGAGAATAACCGCGCACGGTTCCACGCTAAATATCACGAGATTGGATCGTCACGACGCTGGCACGTACATATGCGAGGCGCTGAACAAGGAGGGAACCACCTTTTACCAGCTAAATCTGACCGTGCAGTGTGAGTAAACAATATACAACCCGCGTGTTAATGCGCAAATAAACTCTATTACGATATTATCGCGATTAATTTCGTTTTATAAAAGAAGTAATATTTGACGTCTTAAATTTCTGGATTAATTTTAATGTGTCTACAGGTGATCGATTATCCGTCGCAATTTTCTTCTATCTCTAATATTTTGCTCAATTTCTTATAATTACTTTAATCTTTCTTTAATCCTCTCTCTCTTTCTCTCTCTTTTGCTCGATTAATGATTTTCTTATACGCCAAGTGATTTTAAAAAGTCTTCTTTGATACACAAAGTTGTTCTCTAACATGTGAATCGCAATTCATCGTTTTACTCGTACGACATCCCGCAGATCCGGCTAAAATCAAGCGCACTTCCTCGTCGGGGATAGTTTATCCACCGGGTATCGAGGCAAAGCTATTCTGCGAGGTCGACGGCAGCCCGATCGGCGACGAGTATGTCACATGGCAGAAAATAGGATCGAATCCTGAACTGCCGGGACGTTATTCGACGTCTTTCGTCAATCGGACGTCGTACCTTCACATAGAATATCCCAGCCAGGAAGACGTCGGCGAGTATCGATGCAAGGTCAACAACGGCATCGGCAACGTAACATCGGATCCTATTCTATTTATTACGAATTGTACGTAAAGTATTTTCAAGAATTTTTATTTTGATTATTTATATATAATAGTAATACTATCGAAGTAGGAAGTTTATTTTTAAGCGCGATTAAGAATAAATGATAAAAATTGTCATCTAGCTATAATTGTCATATATCGTATAATAATGATGACTTAATTAAAAATATAACCGTTGTTATATTTTTAGAAAAAAGTAAGCGCGAGCGATGCATTTAGCACGTAAATAAACTGGCAACATAGAATCGAGAGAATTCGTGTGATTAATAATATTGACTTTTAGTTTCAATATTTATACAGTAAACAATTAATAATAGCACAGTGAAAAGTGTCCTAATTATTGATGTTAATAATTAAATATTATAATATTGCAATAATTATGTTTCAGTAAATATAATATCAATGATAATCAATAGTCAATAATAGAAGTTCAAATCATCGACTCTATAATTGCAAAAATGTCGACGTTTAATTGCATCTCAACAGAAAAACCAATTATAGATACACGCGTAATATATGCATAATATATTCGTGCGACGCGATTCACGTATCGGAATGTGCGCGTAATAAAGAATTTACTGGTTACTTTTATGCGCAGTTAAACCGGAAATGACGAACACCCCGCTGACGCGAAAGGCAGCGGCGAACAAAGGAATAAACGTCCAATTGTTCTGCAAAGCGCGAGGATCTCCATTGCCGCGTTTCACTTGGATCTTCAATGGGAAAACTTTATTGCCGAATGCAACCGAAGATAAATACAGTATCACTCACAGCGATGTAAGTCGCTTTATAAGATGTACTTATCTCTTAAATAACGACTTCCTTTACCGTTATATCTCCTTTAGAGCCTCCGCAGTATTGTATCGCGTACTGTAAATCTTGTTCTTCGTTTAACTTCGAACGAATTTTACTTTGATAGAATTTCCATGTCGGACATAGTTAAGAAGATATTTACCGTTGTAAATTCGAAAGTTGTGAAGAGGTCGCGACACCCGATTAAAATTTTGCCAAGAGAAATAATAACCATGTCGTTACAAAGACTATATCTTTTTGATTTTAACGTCTTGATAATATTTGCGTCCTTAACGATAAAGTAACAAATTAAGCTCCTCTACGTTCTCTAGCTGTCGGAGCTCTATTCGGAAACGATGTTGACCATCTATCACGTGAGGTCGCAAGACTACGGCAAGTACGAATGTCGTGCCCAAAACAAAATGGGACTGTCGACGGACGAAATACTTTTGGACGTCACGTCGCCGCCGGACAAGCCGAGCGACTTGGAGGTCTACAACTATACGCACGACTCGGTCACGTTGGCCTGGAAGCGCGGTTTCGACGGCGGCCTGCCGACGTCCCATCAGATACGATGGCGACTGGCGCAGGATTACGAGGATCGCTATTATTACCTGGACGTCCCGCCCGGCGAGTACAAGGCCACTATATCCGGCCTGTCGCTGGGGACTTATTACGTGTTTAGCGTAAAGGCCATCAACGAGAAAGGAGACAGCGGTTTCTTGCCGGATCTCCTCAAAGTCCAGACGCTTCGTAAGTTGTAGACCGCTAAACACCGTAGATTGCTTCCGTAATTCGAAAGCAGCGACTTCCCAATACATTACGACGTAGCATAATCAACAGAAATCATAATCATGAAGCTCATTCTCACGGAGATTATAATTGTTCTTTTTCTCATGAGCGAAGTATCTATCTGCATTAGACCAGTACATCGTTATTCACGCTACATAGTGGAAAATAACAGCTTGCTAAATCATTATGCAGATCATCGAGACATAATTAAACGCGATTGCCCCGCATCCACGTAATTAATTGTACTCGGTAATTAGGTTGATCATGTATTACGTTACGTACATTTAGTGTGTTTCGTGAATGTTCGCATGGCATTTATATCGTGGGTTAGTTGTAATAAAGTACATTGGACATTACATAGCATAGCATTTACAAGTATATCATACGTGTAATGCAGTGATTTTCAGCATGTTTCATTCCAATGGTCGATATCAGTACGGTGACGCTTAGCTTTGAAAATTTTTTTGACACAGTATTTTTCCCAACGCTTCTAAGATAGAGAAATTACAGGCTTGACAAGGAAATTATGGTCAAAACCGTATGAATTGTCGCGCGTAACTGCCGCGCATTGTTATAATTATTTTACACCGGTGCGGAAACACAATCCAAACAGTTACTTGCTTGCCTTTTGTTTAAGGGGAAATGATTAATAAGCAAGTACGTAGTTGCTATTCGACCTGTTTAATTACTGGCTGCAAATCATATTAGCGGCGTTACAGCATTCCGCAATAGCCGAAGATTTCGAAGTTGAACGTGTGACTAACAATGTAGACCGACTCGTTGCATGAATAACACAAACCGGTGATGGGGCATTGGCTTGGGTTACAGGCGAGGCGCCACCAACCGAGTTGACATCAAGCGAGAATAGTTCCTCGTACATCATCGTCATTATCATCACTGTTTCCGCCTCTGCTTGCCTACTCATTGCCGCAACCATAGTCTTTGCTACAATAAAGTCGAAAAAGAAGGTCCAGCGTGCTGGTAAATATAATATCTATCATGTGTTCTTTCTCTCCTATTTCCCTAGGCCCGAATAAAGAGGAAAACCTGCCGGACGTCCTCTCGGAAAAGGGCGACTTTCCGATGAATTATATCTATACGTTAGCGGCGACTTCCGTCATCATTTTTATCGTTAATGTCTTCATCATGTTGTGGTACATAATACGAAAACGAAATAAAGCTCGTAAGTTTGCGACCAATAATAATACTTAGCGCACACGCGCTTCAATTTAGAAGATTAGCCCAACGTTTGGCTACAGCCGCGGCAGAAGATGAGTCCAGTTTACTTTCCTAATAAATTTTGAAAGAGATTTTAAAGTTAAACGAAAATAACTCGCAGTATACCGCAGTAGATTATGTAAATTAAGTAAAGCTGATTACTAATAATACTGTAATAAATACATATATCTCTATAATATGGATTGCAATTCATTAAAGATAATGAATTCATTATTTTAGAACTTTACACACATTTGGTTTATTGCTGTGTCTTCTAAATGTTCATGTATCAAGAAAATTTGCGATTTGCATGTGTAATTGGTAAAAAAAAAATTAAGTTAAATCGTTTCAATTACATTCGTCTTCTGCGTGCGGCCCTAGCTGTACTATTCACGTCTCGCTTTGCTATTCACATGTTCACCACGTGTTATCTTTGCATAGGCATTAATAAGTCGCAGACCGCGGATATGTATGCACCGTCCACCGTCAACGGCGACACCATGACCGGCGAACTAAGTTCGATGTCGGACGAGAAGAGCGACGTCAACTTCGACGCTAATGATTACGTGGTCAGTGCCATCAGTCAGTATGTTCTTAGTAACAAGTAATTCCGGAGGGTAGGTTTGAGTTCTAGCAACACTTTTTCTGTTCCGCTTCCCCTATTAGTTTCGCCACTCTTTCTCTCTCTCTCTCTTGCTCCTCGTTTCTTCCTTTTACCCGTCATTTGATTTCTCTGTTTTTTTTTACGGTTCCATTTACGCTCTAACGCGAGATGTTGTGTTAGATAATAGAATAATGAGCAGACTGTCTTAACGATACTGTCTCCTTTGCGATTAACTTTAGCTTTATTTTTCAACCGTTTGCAGTTGAAATAATTTGCATCGCATCATTAAGCATGATGTTATTTCAATTATCGATTATTTAAAAACTGTTTTCATGCTCAGTCGAATCTGTAGAAACTTTCTGGTTACAAAGCTAACTTTAATAATTCGAAGTTAAGCTACTCTTTTGTTTAAATTACAGTTATTTTTTGCAGCTTTGGCACACCATAGCACGTACTTTTATTTTCGCATATAAAGTCCCGATATTTTTTATAATATACCGTCACATATTTATATCATGACGATCTCATGTCATTCGATCGCAGAGTTCGGCTAAAGGTAACTATCCTCAGGTAAAATCTAACGTATCTATTAAAAAATAGCGCTATGATGAAAACAATCTTAATGTTAAACGCTCGCAACATCTTAATCCAATAAGATATTTTTGATATCATAAATTCTCTGCGAAATTTCTTCAAAAGACCACTCTAACATGGCTTTTCTAATCATTAAACACTCGCCTGCTTTCTCGCAGTAGCGTTAGACCTCGCATACAATGGAAGTAGGAGCAGTAACGAGAGAGTAACAAGATATGAAGTAATCGATGTTAACATTCAATCGCGAAGAGAAAGAAATGTTGATATGGTGGTTTCAATTCCTCGCATTAATCCGTTATTTAACAGCAATAAAAGATTTATACGACTCACCGAAATGATGTGAAACTGAATATCAGCGCAGAACGTTGATCTGTAAATAAAAACAAAAATTATACATATATAAAAAAGTTATGTTTTTTTATCGCACACAGAATACAAAATATATCTATCGTATATAAATTATTTTTCTAAAAGTAATCAACCCAGAGATACTTGAAACATTTTTGAAACAATAATTCAGTGAGAGAAAAATTATATTCCGTGCAAAAGAAATTAAGTGAAAAATAATTGTTTGCAAATCAGATAAAAATTATATTTTTCATTTCTATTTGCTTACCGTTCGGTTTTCATTATTTTGTTATTTAGTCAAAAAGTTATTTTATTATTTTTTATCGTTTTATTATTTTATATTCGCTCTGTTAAAGATAGGATTAACGAATATATAGCACGCACGAAATATCAAATTTATTACTATTGATCGGGCAAGAATGCGATATGAGAACACACATATAACGTGTATAGCTTATTTTTTTGTGATTCGCGGTAAACTCGCTTTTACGTGATTATGAGCCGATTTCACAGTCTCCGATTAATTTGATCGTCCGATTAAGCTCACTCTGCATCTCTTTCTAACTGTCCCCCTTAGAAAGAGGCGAAGAAGTGAGTTTAATCGAAAGATCAAGTTAATTGGAGACTGTGAAATCGGTCCAATGCCGAGTAAATTAATCGAACGATCGAACAAATTACTTACCACGCAGAGTCGTTACGCCGTCGCCTGCATTTTTCCGTCGTCGTTTCATCGCACGGGAATCGGGATATATAGCGCACTGAGATGAATAATAGCCGATCGGAAGCGCTATACGGCTAATTACGGTCGCGGCGATGCTAATTAACGCGACACGACAATCGCCCGCCACTTTGCACGGCACTTTTGGCGTTTATTGCACTCGCGACAACGAAAAACCAACGTAAAAAGGCGACGATCGACCGCGTCCCTCTGTCCGGTCGCAACTTTCGACGTTCATTACGCGCGATATAACGGCGGTCGTTGCGAAGTGAACAACGAGCGAGAGATTCGGGCCGCGCGCGGACAACTTCACGCCGGTTCGCGAATGTCGCGCGACACAAATCTCGAGTATTAGATGACGATTAACATAATCTGGGTATTAGACGGTTTAATCGAGCTGATTAGCGATCGCAAACAAGTACTGATCGACCCGATGCGCGATTTAGAAGAGCAGAAATAACGCGTCTCGATAGTTAGCCTCCCACGGACGGGCCACGGATGTCGAAAATGAAAAGACAATGAATTGAGATAGAACGATCCGATTAATCGTCATTGTACATACATATGACGTTGATATAATACAATACGATGCTCATCCATTATTTGTTTCGGCATTTCGGACGTTTATTGTACTTACGACGCGTTCGAGACGAGCAAGTAGCGCGAGACGCAACCGATTCTTCGACGCCATTACGGTGCACACTGCACCGCGACGTTGGGGAGGATTCGCGGGAAACGCGATCAACTTCACGCAGATCCGCGGAGAGTCGACATATACTATTTAAAGAATTAAAAGTTACTAAACGCCACAATTGATACGAATATCCGGAATATCTAATTCAATTACTGGCGCGATGAGCCCCGAATGAGTACCTACAATGTCGAAATAAACGCGTTTTTTAACAAATATAGACTGTGAAGTGCGTGAATAACGCGGAACGAGAACTCGACCGAAGAGAAACATTTCGGTAACGCGATGTCGAACGATGCGATTAATCTCGCGCGAGCGTACCTACATGTTAATACAACGCGATGATCACCCATCGTTCCGGCATTTCCGTTTATTTCGCACTCGCGCGACGCATCCGGGATGAGTAAATATCGCGACACGGTAAATATCGCAATAAATCGATGCTTCGGCACGTTGACGTCCGTTACGTGTGTACGCAAAACGTTTAGGAAAGATTCGAAGCGCGCGCCGGCAACTTCACGCCGCTCCGCGAACCGCGAACTACGATCTAAAATCTAAATTCTAAAAAGATTAATGAAAATGAAATTTATATTAAATTGCTGGAGGATCCCACAATTAACGTAGGAATCGTGTCGATCGTATGCGCGATGCACTTTGAAAGAGTAAACAATATCGAAACGATGTCTTTTAATAAATAGATTATCTTAGTTCACATAACTGTAGCTATAATATGCGAGACGAAGGGAAGCGCAATATCGGAGAACGCGGCTAATCTCGATCGCGTGTTGATTTAACACGCCACGGCGATTATACGACGCCGTTCGACGCTCGCGCACGCAAGATACTTACGCTTCCCTTCGACCGAAGAAAACACACGCGCGAGTAAAGATCTCAGCGTTGCAAACCGAGCGTAAAATGGCGGGTCGTGTAATTCAAACGGAACTAAATGAGCGACGGCGAGCTTCGTTATAAAATTTCTATAATGGACGTTAATTAGAATTATTTGGACTTAACGATCGAAACTGATTCTCGATTAAGTGTCGCTAATTATAAGCGATTACGGATTTTATGATTATGTTATTAATTTGTTGTAATGATATAATAGTATATACTGGTTGATAAATCGCTAATTACAGTCTTATTATAGATTGATTATATTATTAATTAGATTAGTAAAAGTAATTATTAGATACTTTAGATATTGTTATTGCCATTACCTTTGTAAAATTAATACGAAGATTTGAAATGAAAACGAGGCCGATTGTAAATGTTAACAAATGCAAATTGGATGTACATTTTAATTATCACGATTAAAGTGTTATCGCATTAATTGTCAGTGTTCTGATACTAACAAGCTATCATAAACAACTCTCATTCCACTACTCGTACTTCCATTGAATAAGATCTTAAGTACAAGAAAACACTTGTTGAAACTTGTATTAATATATTAATTACAAAGGAGGGCGTGAAACACAAGGGCTTAAATAATAAAAAAACAATTAAATTATACACAGAAAAAGTAATATTTTTTTTAATCTATACATTTAATATCTAATTATAGGAACAGTGTATAACAAAATAATTCTCTTATATATCATAAATTAATATGTATATTGATTGTATTATTATAAGAAGGATTTTGCGATTTATTGGAGCAAAGTTTCAAGACAAATAGATTTAGCTTCCAAAGTCCGTTTCATGCCTGTTGTTTGCAAAATACAATACCGGATATCGGACCACAAATCACAAATCAATTTGTCGTTTAATTTGTTGTATAACAGGACGAGGGGCGCAAAACCGCAGCTAGCACGTATTTAATAGATCAAACTATGCAGGATTTCGGGAAAGGCGGTTTAGAGATGCAGGTTCATCAGGGCACCCTCGGTCGTCGCAGCAATCACATGCAGACGTCCATGAACATGGACTCGCCACCGCAGCGGACCACCGCCAGCGGGACTCTCTCGGGCACATGTAAGTATTCATAATTAAAATGCATATAAATACATAAACCGCGAACCACTACATTTTTCATATACTTCACAACTTTAAAGATACTCCTTAGTTGCTATATTTTCAGATATACTAAAAAAAACTACTCACATTTTTTTTTAATTTCTCTGGTCATTGGAAATAAAATATTAAGAAATATTGGAATCTCAAACGCGAAACTTGATGAGGCGCGGTGACACAAACCGTATCAATAACATACATGGAGCCTGCTGATTCCTCATCATTGTTTCTTCGGCCATCTAACGTCTACGTAAACTTCCGACACCTTCTAACGTCCCGTCATCTAATGTTACAGTGTCAAAGTCGAGTTACATTGGCAATCCGAGCCCGGCGCCGCCCAACGACGTGAGCTTCTACAGCGTGGAGATGGACAATGGCGGCCGGGGGTACATCAGCTACGACGGCAATCCGAGTCCGGCGCCGCCCACGATCGATCCGACCGGCGGGCCCTATTATCCTTCGTCCATGGGCTCGACGGGTCACATAATGGGTGGACACATGACGGGGGCCGGCACCGGCACCTTGACGCGCACCAGGACGCTGCCGCGTCCCGTGCCCCCGCCCGACGTCACCGTGATGACCGCGGGCACCAAGTCGCCGATACCGCCGTCGGTGCCGCCGCCGCCCGCCACCTTCGCCCGTGCCGGCGCCAACAACGGCGGGCCCCATCCGCATCCGCACTCGCATCCGGCACCGCCGCCGCCGTCCTGCCAGAGCCACCCGCTGTCGACGTTCGCGGCGACGCCGACCTACTCCGACATCGACGGTCATCTTGTCTGAGGCTCGCCGATCTTCGGGCCCAGCTCGACGCGCGGCAAGTATCGCGCCGTCGCCCAGAACGAGGACGACGAGGATCACCGGCCGGCCACGGTCACGGAGAGGAGCACGCGTCTCTGAACGACGCCGTGCGCCGCGATGATTGTTCCTCTTCCGAATCGTCCACGTCGTTCGTGTCATCACCGATCATCTCCCTAAACGGCGGCGACGGCTCGCGCACGACGGCGTCGCGGCTGAAGGCCCTGCCACACATCATCATGCGCCTGAACAATCTCCTGAAAACTGTTTGGTGCGCGAGAACGAAAGTACGGCGAGGTGTGTAAATAGAGAGAGAGAGAGAGACATGAGGCAAAGAGAGATAAAGAACGTTGATGCGGGAGTGAGAGAGTGGTGCACCAGGTTCACGCTGTAAACAGCCTTTCCCTTCCACGCGGTTACTTCCTAGACGAGAGGAGACACGCGCGTGGGGCTCTCCTACGCGATTGAATTCTAATCTTAGGGGTACACATGTATGTATAATTGAACGCACGACGAAGAGCGATCTTGGAGAAGGAGAGAAAGAGGGAACGATCGCGTGCCAGCACGCGCGAGCGTTCCCCGAAAAGCACGAGGATGGTTCTACCGTACCTCCTCCGCTGTTCTTCTGCCTTCCCCTTCCCCCTTTCATCTTTATCGTTTTCCGCGCTCTAAACTCTTCGTCTTTGTCCGCTCGCCTTAGCGTTATTTAGCGTAACTCGCTAAACAGCGACGTAATCACGATGCATCGAACGATCGAGCTCCAAATCGACGCACCGATCGTTGAGGAAAGTATATTTTTTCTGTAAATACACGCATAATCCGAGAGGTAGACGAGAGAACAACCCCGCGATAATTTCCTCGGTTGCTTCGTGCATGTCGGCACGAGTACACTCTTCGTCATAGCGATTATGTTTAGATATCACTATGCTGGTATCAATAACTGTCGGGAAACTCGCGAAGGATCTTTGAAATATCAATACGGGAAGTGATTCTTCCTCGCTCCGACCGTGACTGACGCCAAAACGCCAATTCCAAATTTCCAAGTGTGCAATCATAAATTTTCACGATCAACAGTGACGTTATTGTCACTATAAATATCATGGAATATATTCCCTTTTGGCACTAGAATAGCCAATATCATACTATGGTATCATATTTAAAACGCGGAAGAAAAAATACATTCAAATCACTTTTTTTATTTCTTGTCTCTAACAAGAAGAAAAGGATTATATTTGTTATCATATTATCAAGAAATTTATCATTTGTTAATATATATTTTCAAGCATTAAAAAGATATAAATTATATGTCTGTAGCATATATATCAAGTAATATCTATACAAAATTATTTAATATATATATTTATACATTATTTTTTCATAAAACCAATCTCTATTTGAAAAATTAGCTCAACAAAAGCAAGCTGTTTCTTGCAAGCTTTTTTTTATGCACAAATCTATCCGTCTTCCAATTTGACATTGGTTATCCTAGTTCCAAGATACCGATTTGATCGGTATTAGATTTTTATGATCACGACGCAAGATCAGTAATATTAATTTCTAAAATATTTACAACACTTAATTAATGATCGCACAATACTGCCCCTTTAAAGCTCACAAAAGTGGGCATATCCGTCATGACCGTCCATTGTTTACTTTCGCGTCGATGAATCGGTTCATCCCGATGATTCGAAACCGAGGGAGGCGAGACAATCGTTATTACAAAAGAGGTGTATACATGGAAAATCGTAAAGAGTCCGATAGCAGCGACATTAAGTTTTCTTTCCCTTTCCACTCTCCATTCGTCTCGTTTACGATCCTCTATTTAAGTTAACGGCGTCTCCTTCTACACGATATCTACGGGTGCTAGCCGAGTTTAGCGTTAAATGTGGCAGTTTGATCTCCAATCTCGATAGAGAGTCTCGCTTGATGAAACACTTAAAGTTATAGAATGCAGCCACCTTTAGCACTGAATGACAAAAATACTCAGTGAGTTCATTATCTCGTATTTTACAAGAGATTCAGAATTTTGCGAATGAATAGGAGAGCCTGGAGTCAATTGCAATTTTAGGAAGGATCACGATCTTAATTAATCTGCTGCTGTATATCTGGAGAAGAAGTAGACTCGAATTCTTCGCAACAACGCGAAAGTAAATCTTGGCCACAAAATATGGTAATCTGAAATTTTGATGAAATAGTTATATCTATTATATACCTGAGAATTTTTTAATACGGTGTTGTACAGAGTTTCCGAAATATCTCCAAATTTAAGAGAAATATCCGTGTTCTACTCCTGGTAATTTGAACATAACATTCTGTAATACGGATATCTTTATCGTTACTCAACAAATCTCTTGTAATATAAATTCAGAATTACATTATATTATGTATTAATATGACATTTATAAAATTGAGCCGCTCAATTGACAAATTGCATTTCTGCAAGCATGAAAACTTGCAGATTTTATTCTTTCGATGCGACTCAAATTGTTTCTCTTGCCATTCGTCTTCCACTCTTCAATTGACTTCGGATTACTCTACGCATCGCGCGAGAGAGAGAGAGAGAGAGAGAGAGAGAGAGGGAGAGAGATTACGCGGCAACTTAAGCTACATATATTTGTTGAAAAGTACACGGGAGGACTTTACCATTCTGTTGTTTCTGAAACGCGAAACGACCCGTTCGAGTACGTTATTAGCATAATCGCACAATTTGCATATCATAAGTCACATTCGCGCTTTAATCACTTGCGCTTTAATTACTTCGAGTTATTTATGTCGCTTAAGTTACTTATATCGCGCTATTTACGCAACTGCGCTGCAATTGTCGTTCCCTTGAGTAATTCCAACGAAAATGGGGAAAATGAATCCGAGCACTGTCGTACATCGTAGAAAACGGAGTTTTCACTGCCGATCCTGAAGTCAATACTGTAGATAGTTCGTACCGACCGTTTAATATACGTTTACCTTCTACACGCGATAAATACGAAATATACACGTATACAATGTATGTTAAATGACCGTTCGCCGCGTTGCGATTTCACGTCAATCGCGATCAAAAGCGATCGGTCGGCCATTAAAACAAAAAAAAACCTGCGTATGTTTGCGTTTTTTACTGGTATAATTCCGACTTTCTTGGTGATCCGAGTTTTTTGTTCGCCACGGATACATCGAGTTGCCGAATGCGTCTTCACTTTAGGGATGCGTTTAGGGGTGCGTTTACGAAACAAAAGATGAATAATAACGACAATGCAGACTCACTCGACCGAGATGGGCTGAGCCCGAGGTCGCAATTCGATCGTCGCGGACCCCGCTAATTGCGCCAGGATTTCACCGCAAACGGATACCGCCGCGCGAAATGAAGACACGCGCGAGATACTTATAACATAATCAGCGACAGATTTCCCCCAGAGGAGGAAACCGAAAGAACGAGGGGGAGCCATACCAGTGAATGTCTCGGCGTAGTGATATCTTGAACAAAGACAATAGTACATAAGTTTAATTACTACGTAATGGTTTTTAGTTAAGGGTAAATAATTCTCTGCCGACGGCGCGGCAATGTTTCGAGAGAGAACCGCATGAAGAAGAGCGGCTGTTGTGCGACTCGCGCGGACGGTCGAAAGACATAAAAAAAAAGAAACAGAACCTGCGCGGATACTCGTATTAGCTCGACTAAATGTTCATACATATACATATATTTTTGCATTTATTTCCAATTACTAATTATGATTAAAACCGTGTAAATAGTGCGATAACGTCTCAATGTTTCACGCGGTCGGAAGAGTGCGAAAAAATTTACAAAAAGAAAAAAAATAACCGAGAAAAAAGTAATTCAAATGGATCATATGAGGGTCTCACTATTACCTAGACTATAAACGAAGTATTTGCTAGAGGGTAATAACGCTGTATATCCGGGGGAAGAAAAAAGAGAGAGAAATTAATCCTGTTGATTGTGAACGAGACAATGTCTTTCCGTTCTTCGTCGAGAGCCTAAGTAGTCAGCGTAATATATATTTTTGAAAATGACCACGACGACGACGACGACGACGATAACGATATGATGACAATGACAATGACAAAATGATGACGACCATGACGATGAAACTCGATGATGCGTTTGGCCTATCGTAAGGGAGATATATTGCAACAAAAGGGAGCTATGTAACGCACGCTGTGCCCTACGTTTCGGCGGTAAAGGGCTGTGACAATGAGGTGCAAGGGTCCCGACGACGTCGCGTTTCCTCGAATCGACGCCTACCGACCACACGAGGTTGCTCTATCGGGGAGAGAGGGGATGGGAAGGGGGCACGATAACGTAGTTCATAACGATTCCCGCGCTGTACGATAATTATAATGATCATTGTAACTTCGCCGCTTATGAGATTGCTCGTTTCCGCGCGGGACCACGTCCCTTCATCCGTTCGTCGGCGGTAGGATTGCCCTCCTTAAGCCCCGGAGGTCGCGTAAGAAAGGAATCGATCCGCAACGACGAAAGAGAGAGAGAGAGAGAGAGAGAGAGAGAGAGAGAGAGAGAGAGAGAAAGAGAGAAAGAGAGAGAGATCTTCCGGGATCCGCGCTTCATCCCGCGATGAGTGGAATTGTAGGAGAAAATTAATACTTTACCTGGCCGGCGGCCACGTGCGTTACATCGCTCGTCGAAGAGATTGTTTGAAAGTTTTATGGATAAACGTTTTTCCGTAGCGTACGCATATATATTGTTGTTTCTCATTACAGCGATATTATTTGTTAACACGGTAGATATTACGAAGCTTAAGGCAAAAGGAGGGAGAAGTGAGGAGAAATAAAAAAGGGGAGAGAAAGAGAGAGGGAGAGATAGAGAGAGACGTGTATTGTTAAACCGCCGTTGTGTATGGAGCCGCACAGTTCGGCTTAGACTGATGATAAGAAATTCACGTATGCTCAATTAGAGATGAACATGTTCGCGCATAATTAAGAGTTCTATTTACATATACATGTTTTATATTTGTAATTAAAAAAAAAAACAAATCATCTATACTTAATATTACCTGAAGATTATTATTAGATTTATGTAATCTCCAAAGTATTTGCTCATCAAAGTGCTAGGCATGTTAGACGGACCGCTATTCGTCCAAAATGGTACCTTGGAGATGGACATACCATCTAACACGTACGACATTTGATATTTTACATATAAATAATAACGACAGCTCGTAATTCCGTTGATTACTCTAAGACATAGTCAATCCTAATTATACAATCATTAAGGATATGGAAAAAAAAAAGAATCAATTAATCGTTTTACATGTATATAAACATATAATGTACATAGCACTTAGATAGACACAAAAAGGGAGAAAGGAAATAATGAGAAATATACTTAAATACGAATTATATCAAACTTACGAAAAAGAGGGAAAAAAATGAGGAAAAACGAAAATCGAGAGCTTTTGTATACTAGGTGTATATTGGGTAATATATTCACTTTGTATTGTTCTTTTTACCGCGAGAAAGAATTATCGATAAATAGGGATTAGCGGCAGCGTCATTGTTTCTAAAAAAAAAGTGCGACGAAAAAAATGTTCAACGACGCGCGAGCGTCGTCGGATCGGGAATCGACGACGGGATTAAAAAATTGTGAAGAACAAGCATCGAGGATGAACAAAAGTCGCAAGCGACGCCGCGACATTATATCCGTTCCAAAATTGATATCGCCAGTGTTCCATCGCCTTCGTGTCACCGCCACGTTTTTTCGTATATAACGCGGAATACTTTTACAAGGATCTTTCTTATTGCTCGGGCTACTTCTATACTTTTTCACTAGGGAGATAATTTTTACCCCCCCTTTTGCGCCGGAGCGTCACCGCCAATGATACACGAAAGTACGTCGTACTCCTCCCCGCGTCGTTTTCAAGTTTGTACATAAACTATTATATCGCGCCGCGACTGGTCTAAATGTTGCTTCCGTTTTATGTGCCAACCGATCGACGTTGTTCTTCGACGCGTGTAACATATGTCACGGAATATTAATGCGAGACGAAGGGGGGAAAAAGAAAAAAACCCAGACAGCGTAATGTCCAAAATCGAGACATAAAACATCTTAATGACATCTTTAAGACGTCTTACGTCCCCGCTTTTGGACACTGCACTGTCCGGGAAGGGTCAAGGAATCAGCACCGGTCGACGGCCGTTTAAACGGAGATTTTTCAGCTCGTGGCCGGCGCTGTTTTCTCCGAGTACAACAAAAGAGACATACGTCGGGAAAGAAAATCGAAGAATCAATGGGGGATAAACAAAAAGAGGGGAGAGAAAAAAATTACAAAATAGAAAAGAAGCGAGAAAAAAAAGCTCTCTGATCGACGTAACGGTGTAACATAATTGAATACCCATCGATTAACTGATTAATGTACATATACATAGTATTTTTACATTCTAATTCTAAATTACATTTCCAATTCTAAATGGTATACACAACACTACACTCACTGTGAGCTTCGCTCCGTCATCTGCGTATCGTGATCTGCGACGACGACGGCTGTCCGTTCCCAGAAGACGACGCGCGTGTCCCAAATCGGGACCCATGACGTCTTGAAAACGTCGTACGTCCCAATTTAGGACATTGCGTTCCCTGGGTTCTGTCGTCGTCCACCATCCCCCGCGCGTCGGGGGGTGAGATTGTGTCCCGTACAAAAGTGCATTTACAGTGATTATTGCTCAGCAGCATCCTCTTCTCCGTTGACTCTCCTCCACGTGCATTACATTCTCGCGCTGTTCACACATTCAATAAACGCATGCCTTGTGCCTTTTCGCCGCGCATCACGTTGCTTAAACCGTATAAATACGTAGGGCAGAATGAAGGGATAGGAAAGATACCTTGCGCGCGATGCATTTTACTATTGTTTTGCGAGACATTCGCGCGGTTTGTCCATGCAGGAGCTATATATGCTCATTGCCGAAGATCGTGAAGAGACGTCGGTCTTTCGAGACGCGAAATAATTAAAAAGCAACATACATATTCATTTATCTCTTTTAATACTCCACGCGATCACACTGTAGCATAATTTGCTAATTGCAAGATTTTGCGTTTGAACGACTGCCAATATTTTAATATTCGATATTAGAGAAGGAGGTATAAATGCTGATTTTATATAAAAATGTATACGCAGAGGCAGAGCGGAGCTCAACACGCTAGTCCTTAATTTAAAACCAAAGTAAAAGCAACATTGTGTAGCGTTTAAGAATCTCTATTACGTATACACACCTGTGTGTCTATACAGACATAATTATAATTAACGATTCCAATCATTGTAATTAGGTAAATGAAACTAACCGATAAGCAGATAGGTAAAAAATAAGCCACTCATTATGTGTATATCATCTTGTTTTTCCATTCATAATTTTTCACTACACAATTAACAACATTTTACCTAGGAGAGCCTTTCGTCAGCTAGGATTATTCTGTATCTGTATTCTGTATATTGTTTTCTATTGCAACTATTAAAACTGATTGTCAACTTATAAATCCGTCTGTTATTTTCTTCGTCGACAGTTTCCTTTCCCCTTTTATTCTAACGCAGAGAGAATTTTGCCTAATAAAATAAATTGCGTAAATTCACAGATTGAATTTTTTCTCCTTTTATAATTGAAGTTTGGAGCACTTTTGGAGCAAAAATTAAAAACTGGCGTTATAAAAAGGATTATAAAAAAAAATACATTTAAATATAAAAAATAAAATTTTAACAAACAGTTTAAAATTAATAAACAAATAACAAAAAATGAAAGAGGTAAATTTTTTACGTAAGCACATTATTGAAAATTTATACTTTGTTATCGAAACAATTTGTGAAAAATCACAATTATAAATATTTATTGCGATAATTCTTTGTTAAAAAAAATTAAATATCTATTATATTTACGTACTAAATACACTTTTAACGTATACAACATTTTTGCGAGTCATGTGTTATTGTGCAATAAACGAATTGCAAAGCGGAGCAACTATGTGAGTAATTTATTATTTTTTATTTTAAAGCCATAAAAAATCCAATCAGTTTCTAAAAGTCTAATTTTTATCTACAAGATTGTTACATAAAGATATAATTAATAATATAATAATTATAATCCAAATAATTAGAAAAAAATGACTTGATAAAAATTACGGAACGGCGAGACATTCTTTGATATAATTTTCAATATAGGTATTTTTATAGAATTTTATAAATTTTTTCTGACAAAAACTCCTTTTTATCTTTACACGAACATAAATATTTAGCAATAAAGTAATAATAATAAATAAACTATTACGAGTTTCCAAGTTGGTCATCTTAAATCATCTAGTCCTAGGTGTCTAAAGAAGTGTTACTGGGAGAAAGAAGAGCCTTGTGATCATATGTCAATGTATATTTTTCCTTTTGTATAGCACAGAAGATAACAATTACTATTATATTACATTACATTTGTTGTCATTCTGGACATAGAGGATGATAATGACGATGATCATGACAGTCTATAAAAGACAGATAATAATGATGATGATAATGTGGAACAATTATGATAGAAACGAAGTACTGCTTAGATAGATTTTAATAGAAGTATGTCTCTTAAACATTTAATTGCGCTGTTCGAATCCAGCCTTCCTTTTTCGTAATTTGACGAACGAGACTGTCGAAATTTATTGAAAGTTTATTATTATTAACTGCTCAGTCTTCATGCATTTTAATTACTTGATTTACGTGTGTAATTGCCCACGAGTGATCTTAATTCTTCGTAAAAAAAATCTCATCGTAATCGATATCATTTAATAGCGGCACTAAAAATTTAAACTTATTGAATAAAAAGATCAAATACATTCACCGTCTAAAGCATTCGTAGAGATAAATTTAAATTACATTGAAAAAATTCTATTCAATTTTCATAAATTCAATTTTATTATTAAATCGTTCAAGTCGTAAAGTAAACATTATAAAGAAAAACATCTCGTTGTACCAGAATTTTGGTCGATTGTGAATTTTGAATGGATTCGAACAAATTCGCACTTCGCAACGAGATTACATACGTAATTCGCGTTATCCACAAAGGAAACAGATCGGTGATTATGACATAATTTCTTAACTGCGCTTTCGAAAAAAAAAAAACGCTAGCGCATTTCATTCCTATTCTTTTATATATATCTATATCTCTTAAACTATTAAAACGCTAGTTTTACAGCCCGAAACGCTCTTTCGTCCGCGACAAATGCGTTTGCAAAACTCACTAGAATTCTGTACATTATAATAAAACCGCCCGCTACTCATGATCATCAATGTAAACTCAATCAATATTGACAGGTACCATGCTGATATATCTCAGTATACACGAAATAGCTTAAAATAAATATACGGTTCGTCTATGTTCTAACGCTCAGTGATCGCGGCAGAGTATATCAATTAAGAATACGATAAATTTTTTTTGCAAACTATTTGCAAATCTGTCCAAATATCCCTCTCGCGCGTGATATCTCGCGACGAATACGCAATTTACAAATTGTACACGAATTGCATATTAAGTACAATCGTCGAAGAAAGTCCGATTTATTGAATTTTTCATCTTTGTCATCATTTAACGCAATCCCATGCGAGATTTGCGAATGCTATTGGAAGATCTCGAACAGAACTTCGATACCATTACAGTATTCTTTAGAAAAGCACAGAAGAGAGAGTTATCCAATATATATTTACATTGTGATGAGATTTAAAGTTAACGCCAAGAACCGTACAATAAAAATAAGTACATAAGAATATTAAAAATATACACTATCAGTCAATAATTTGAACAATCTTTCTCCTATCAATCTCTCATATGTTAAAATTTCATTACAAATTCTAACAGCGTTACTACACAGCAGTAATTATTACATTAAGAAATATCAAGTTTCGTATCAAGAATTTTATAAATTTTTGATAATATTACCTATCGGTTGTTCCTTGTTTTATCTTTTTTTTGCCTTCTTTTTGAGAAAAACCGCGCTCATAAAATAAATTGAGCATTCAATTTTTAAAAAATAGTTTTTAAGCTATTGACTAACAGCGTATATACAACACAGATAAACATTTAATAAGCCTGTAAAAGCCTTGAATTACATCGGCGATAGGCTGTTCGGTAAACTCAGAGCAGACGGTAAATAAATCGGCAACCGAATATATATAATGCCTAATAACGTAAAAAAATCACAGTTTTTTATTTAAGTCTAGAGATTCGTATGTATATATATATATAAGCGGTATTAAATAATTATAGTATTTACAATCTCGAGGAAGGCCTCGGCGCGGCCTATCCAGCCACACGAGACACACGTTCTAATAATTAGTCAATTAATAATATAATGTATTCTCTCGGACAGCCCCGCTCGAGAACAACGGTCTATCTACTACGAGAGAGTTCTGAAGAAAGAGAAAGAGAGAGAGAGAGAGAATATAGTTAATAATATAACATTTATAAAACGTTCGTCTCGTGTTCGCACTCGTGAGTACAATTATTTTGATCCGGTACTTTGACATGGGTGAGGTTTCTCGCGCTTTGTCGTACTAAGGTAAAAGACAAGCAACGATAAGGCGTATTGAAGAACATATTTGAAATATGTGATTTCAATAGCAATTGCACGCTAACAACAATAGTAAATTTCAATACGAGCCAGTTATTACTTTTCTTATCTCGCTTAACATGGTTCCAACTTAAAAGTAGCTAAGCTACTTTATTATCATAGATATCTAATCAAATCTTTTATTAAATTTATCAAATCTTCTAATTATTAAAAAATGAGGAAATGTAAAAAAAAAAATTTAACAGAATCCAGATATTTTAATAGAGAAAAAAAAATTATCACTACATTTATTATCTGCGAGAATTAAAACAAATAATTTATTTTACTCGCACCCTCTGTACATTTGCCGAACTAATTACTGGCTTATAATTACAGTTAATCACGATTCGATTTTACTCCGATTTTCGGTTCTATTCCGCTCGTAGCCGCTGATCGCGGTTAATGTCTTTTACTTTATTACTCTATTTAGCACAATTGCCGCTAACAAACACACGCAATCCCGTGTGGGATTGCGGAGAGAAAAGGGTCGCTTTGATTGAGTTACGTAATATGCATATAATGGCGTTCGCGAGAACATCTCGCATGTATAAAAGTTTATCTCTCTCTTTTAATATCTCGCTATCACTTAAACGGTAAAGTCTTTTCTACGTACGAGGACAGTCACCCGATGATGATACTCCTACTCAGACAACAACACCACGAGATCTACAGTATCATGAGAAACTCAAATTTCAGATTTCAATTCGACATTTACAATGTATACCTTTTTTTATATGTAAAACGCGTTTGCATAGCTTTTGTTGGGGTATTTAGAAATTAATATCCGGTTTTAGCAAACCCGGACAAACGGAGAAAAGTTTGTAACATATGTGAAATAAATTGCATTGTCAGGAGGGTTCATCATTAAAGTCTGCGGTTATTAAATACCACCATTAACGTATGCAGTTGGAAATGAGTACAATTAATGCCAACAAAAATCGTGGAGTGATGGCTCGCTAGCATTAGATATGAGTCAATTTTACAGAATAGTCTCCCGACAGTCTCAAAATGCGAGGCTGTCAGGCCTCAAAATTGTCCGACGTTCGTCTAAATACTCAGTAGATACATATCCGCATTTCACATTTTTTTCAGTGTCAACAAAATGACTGTCTCCCTTAAAACTTTAACCCGCCCACCTCTAACACGCGACTGGTATACTATGCCTTATACACGTATATATACATCCATGTGTTCGATAAAATTAACAAGACATGAATACGATTTTGTATGACTCATTGAATTCCATCAACGTCTCTATTTTTTTTTTATGACTAACTTACGCTTTTACGTACATATCTATGTACACTGATTACCTATCAAGTATACAAAGTATTATTCGTCTTTTTTGGATCTACGTTTGTGTATTTATACGAGTGTATATATATATATATATATATATGCGCGTTGGTGTAAAATTAACACCAAAAGGATCCGTTTCTTGTTTAATACGATATTTTACGCAGCAGTTCCTTCAAAATCATAAAATAGTCAGAGGGATGTAAAACACTGCCAAGTAACACGCGAGATAATTTTCGATAGTTCGCTCGAGAGTATTGATCGGACCCTTCTCGTGTCAATTGCTAATTAAGCTATCCATTAGTCACATGGACACGAAAAACGAAAACTTTGTGCGGTGAATGATACGTAAGAACACAGCGGCCTTCGAAAGCAGATGTTCATTAAGAGTTTTACTGAACATTTCTTTGCCATTTTCTATATATACGTATAAATTTTTATATCTATAGCGTACAAATACATATCAAGAATTGCCCTCTTGGAGGATAATAGTTTCGAGTAGACTCTAGCCATTAAAAGCCATTCCTCGTTTCTAACTTTAAACAGTGTTTGCTATCGAGAGAGCCACTACTCGGAGAGTAAAACTCTTAAATGTACACCCAATCTAACTCGGACGAATCTCTTTGTTGAATTATTTTGACTTAGAGATAGTGAGTATGCACAACGCGCGATGAGATCTCCGTCTTTTTATCGATAACTTTTTTTTGCTGATGATTTCTCTCCCTTATTTCGAGAAGCACATCTATTATATTATTATTATTTATAGTCATTAGCGCTACTCTCTACTATTAATTGATACACTACTATTGTTACTGTCGCTGCTGCTGCTGCTGCTAAATGCTACTAAAATTACACATTTGTTAGCGTCCTGTTACTCTTTCTCCCTCTATTAATGTCATATTATCAGTTATTACCACTATTATCGTCAATAATCAACGTAATCATTAGCGATATATTTGTTAATCTTATTATTGTTATCGTTATTTAAAGTTCACTATTTATTGTTGCGGTTACTTTTGTTCTCTTGCTGTTGCTATTATTGCGAGCATGGTCTTCTCGGTGTGTTGCAAGCTGCATGTTAATCCCCTTGGCCCTGGTCCCAGTTCCTACTACTTGTCCGCTTGTGTTTCGCAATGACGATCGAAAGGATGACTCAGTCCTTACATATAGCGAGGGTACATTCAATCAATTAACGTATATTATTATCGGACTGTCGTGACTAAACCCTGAACTTAAATTCTACAAACGTACGTATAACGTAAAACACTGGAAGACTTTACAATGCCTGGAGTATTATTCGTAATTTCATAGAGATCATACCCCGTATCTCGTAATTAGGGATACGCCACCTAAGAATCCTAAAATCATAGGGCTATATATACATTTTTCTACGCATGATGGACATTGATTTTACATTAATAACGATTAATAACACAATCTGAAAGACGAAAGCTATTTAAGGCGTTGCAAGGATTAACGTGTCGTCAACGATACACGGTAAATTGCGTGAGATTTATCAAATCGTAATCAATAAATGCAAATTTCTAGCGTTCGTGATTTAAATAATAGGTTTCAATTATCGTGCTAAATTAATGACAGTAAAAAAAACCTACGAGGAGGAAATTAATATCTCTACGATCCACCTATTCATCGTACACTTTAGCGTAACACAGCGTTTTTACCTGAGATACGAATGAATCGTTACATGAAAAAAGAAGACGTTAGAATGTACAAATGTATAACCATCTTTTTCTATTTCTTTTTGTATCAAGGGTTTTAAAGGATTGAGTAGAAAACACTGGATCTTCTTCATCTATTTCCATTTTCTCAGACATTTTCTTAAAGTTCCAATGACAAAATTAATTGTGTCTTGAAAAAACAGTGACGCCTATTCTTTGGCAATGTGTACAATAGTTTCTTCCAGATAGCTCTAAAGCTTGTAGCTTGTATACGCAATTATGTGAGACAAGGCAGTGATTATAGCACGTGATAGAGTTTCTAGTTTCCCATTCTAAGTTGCGCACCCGACAATCTGGTTTAGTTAACTGAATTTATTTAATGCTTTAGCACTATCCTCTTGTAAAGATTATAGTTCTACCCGTGATATATATATGTGTAAATGCAGAACGATCATGCGAAACAGATTGAATCCGGTCAGATAAACTCGTGGTAAACTTGCAAAACGCCATACATCGAAGTCTGCCTTAAAGAGATATTTTCTTGAGATTCTTGATGTTACTTTGTGTACTATCTAGTACATATAATGGCGAGAAAGGTAGAGGAAAAAATATCTAGAGATTGCAGAATATATATATATATATATATATATATGTATATATATAAATTTATAAATATATAAAAATATGTGTACCAAAAAAATTTTTTTACAAAGCCAATAAGATTTGCGAGAGGTGGATTCAACTCGTTTTGCGTTATCGTTCCTCAAGTAGGAAACGAAAATCTAATTAAGAGTTGACATTACACGAGCCCTTAAATTTTTGCAGACGTTAATAAAATCTACGCGTCGTAATCAACACTCCATATTTGGCCTAAAACGACTCGTGCTCGTCAATGATAATAATCAATGTCCGTACAGAATGAGCTAGGAACCTACACAGCGACTATCTTACATATCTGAGAAATATTTCTAAGTTTTCGCGGTTGCTCCGGTCACAACCCGGAATGCCATTCCGTTGCAAATAGGATCCTGAAATCCATTCATCGGACGCCGCCGATCCATGATGAGATCTAGTCGTAATGTACAACACGCACCGCTCGCCGTCCTCAAAGGACAGGTCTATCGAAAGTCTATCGAATGTACAAAGCGCCTCGCCTTTTCGTTTCTCTCCCCCTTGGCAATCTCAGAAATGGTCTCCCGCGCGGAATCTCTTGCACCGTGCAGATCCAGCATAGATTCCCAAGCTTTTGCGACGTAGCGTCTCGGTTTTTTTTTTTTTTTTTCTATTACGTATCGCAGTGTATGTACGCTTTTAGTCTCTCTATTTCGGCGCTAAATCAACGCGGCTTTGTCTGAAATCAACATTCACACGATGCTCTGTATATTGAACACATATTGCGTATTGCGTGCGTGAGTATGTAAGTGTGTATGTACGTATTTACATTTATGTATTATGCGTTTGGTGGAGGGTGCATCTTTTTTTTACCCTATTTACGCGAATATATGACGATTATTCCGCTAAATCTACCTCGACTCCGCCGTCTTGTTACTGACCTCTTCGTCGGCGGCGGCTTGGGTGGTGCTCGCCGGAAGCGGTTGCTGCTGATGCGTTTGCATGGGAGGAGCGGTTCCGCTCGTCGCACCGTGCGACGGGACCGCCTGTTTACCGTACTTAACGGTATCCTGCGGCGGCGCGTTCTGCGATTGCAGTTCCGGTCTTCGGAGGTAAGCGGCCGCCTCTTTTTTCGGCGGTACCACTGGCTTATTCGGTGGTACCGGGGGCGGCACGCCGCGCGAGATCGGCGGCTTTTTCGCGGGCAGGACACCACCACCACCACCACCACTACCAGTAGTAGCGGCGGCGGCAGCGGGTGCTTGAACAGTGGGGCTGGCGGCAGGACTTGAAGACTGGCCAACGTGAAAACCGAGCTTCCCCGCAGCGGCGACGGCGGCTTGCGACGACGTGATAAGCTTAGCCGCGGCAGCGGCCGCGGTACTAACGGGCGCAGGTACAATCGGCTGTCGCTTGTCTACGGCCTGAGGAATGAACACAGAACGATGACCGATTTCAGAGAGCCGAGCCGCGGAGACGGTCGCTTTCGTACACGCTCCGCCGCCAGACAAGAACGAGCACATCGTTAAAAAACCGTTATTCTCTGCAAAGGGTGGTGGTGGAGAAAAAAGAACCATACCAAAGAACTAATCCAAAGCAGAGAGAGAGACAGAGAGAGAAACAGAGACAGACTTGGTGGAAGGTAGGTACGATAGCTAAAAAAAATTGTCAAAACCCGAAGAGGAGGAGAGAGAAACACCGTTATTTAAGCAGCAAACGATCACAACTCAGGCCGAGGCTCTCGAGATGCTGAAATTAAATTCTGCGTATATCATCAAACTGTTAATAGATAATTCCGAAGATATAGGAACACTTTTTTTCTGGCATACTCGCAAATCATCAGAGAATAAGACTTTTGAGACGTGGTGTTGGAGTTACACAATCAAAGAATATATTAGTAGAACTTAATATGCGTAACAGATCTTCAGAGAAAATATACGAGCTACAGACTATGTTTTTGAGAAATAAATATTTCAATCTGCAGATTGTGTCGGAATGTAAGAAATTCGATTTGGCCAAGTATTCATCTACTTGTTAAGATATGGTGCAAACCAAGTAGTAGTAATACGTCAAAGTTCGTAAGACCGTAAGACCGTATAATTTAGTAGTAGCGATTACGCTATTGCGATTAGGAAGTCAAGCTGGGGCAGTTTGTAAATAAAGCTCAGAAATGAGTTGCATACAATCTTTTTTTTTTTAATTGTAGGAATCGGTCGATGTACACATGTGAAATAATAATAATCTTATGTACACAAAATAAAAGTATCGTAATAAAATATAACTCTAGGTATCGATGATGTGCTAACTTATAAGATCGGTATACGGTGGAAGTGTGTATAATATTGCGAGTGTACAACAACTGTTAACTTTTTAAATAAATCGTGAACGTGTATATAAAGGTATATACATGTATAATGTAAAACAAAACTGGCTCAAAATAATCTTGCGGACATTTATAGCGATCTTATTTGTAGAAATTTGTGAGGCAACGGTTCTTAAACTTTAGTGCACCATCTGATAGAAGTAGCGAGAATATATTCCGATCAATACAGAAGTTTTGTGCATCAAACATAAAATTATGTAGAAGCCAAGAACGGTGTTGTTTTTGGAACAAGCGAAATTCACTTTTTTAATTTAGTTTTTTAAATTTATTTCTTTTAATATGTAATATCTAATATTATTCTACATAAACATTTCTGCATTGTTATATAATTTAACAGTGCAGATATATTTCGTGTCTTTATTTTGTAACCAAATGTTATTTGCAAAGGAACGTAACAAATTGGTTATCAAAATGTATACATCTTTCATTAAAAAAAAAATTAATAAATAGGTACATATAACATCTGTTTTTAAATAAAAAAAGATGAATACATATTAATTGTAATAATAATAATAATAATTATATAATTGCAATAAATATATGACTAAAGTGCGATATATTTATGATCTATAAAAATATAGAAATAAGATACATAAGACTAGAGGAAAGCTTATAAAATGCTTGTGTAAAATCAGTGATAACAAATACGTTATTCCTACTAAACAAAGCTATAGGAAGTGATGTAATAAATATATATATATATATATATATATATAGATATATATATATATATATATTATTCGCTAAATAACTCTTTTATACAAAATTCTTCCACATATTTTAATTGCATAAGATGGATCTTGAGTTGGAAAAAAAAAACGATTGGAAATGCAACATAAATACACAACTATTTACACTTCAAAAATATAAAATGTTTCAAAATTTCTTCAATTATTAATCAAGATTTAACATCTATATTGATGGTACACTGTGCACGGAAAATTATTTTCCTAAAATTTCAATTTTATGTATCTCTTAAATTATAAAGAGCCTACTTACATTATTAATTACAGTCTTTGTAATAAAATTCTATATTATTTTAAAAGACAGAATATTTTATCTGTCTTTATAATTTACAATATGTAAACTTAATTTTTTTTTTTTCAGGATCTACTTTTAAATAATATCTGTATGACACACAAAATATATCGAATTAAAGCTAATCCTTATTATTCGCACAAAACACAATACTGACTTGATTTAGCTGATTTCTACTTCCAACTAAATTTTCCTATCGTTACAATGATGAATTGTTTATAAATTAGCATCTTTTGTTTTCTCTCTTTCAAGAAAATACTAGCGAAGTACGAGTACTTCTCAACGTCAAATATAAAAATATCTATCGTGTATAAATAGGCTCTATATAATCTTTAGATTAACGTCGAGTGTGTAGGGAAATGTGGATAGGTTACCTGCGTATCTGAAGGAGCTGTAGATTCTCCACCCACAGATGTTAAATTAGGCGTATATGCGACTCCGCGAAGTGCCTGTCCAGGTGTTACAGACCTAGCAATCCCAGTCGCTAAAGAAAAAAAAATTATGTTTATTATTTAACATTTTATCATTTAAAACTGACTAAATAATATTTTCATATATATGTATATATAATTTATATTCTATCAAAGATTTCATTTAAACTAAGGACAATACATATTTTTATATATTTATACTACTATTTAAAATGTATTTTGTTAAATTTTATATGTACATATTGTTTATGTTATATATTGAGATATCTAAAAAAGGTCTTACTTGGTCCACTGACAGGAACACTGGATACTGTCGCAGTAGGCTGAACAACTTTACTGCTAACCATAGGTGTCCCTGTACCCAAGACTGCCCCTTTCACTGTAAAAAATGTAAAAAAATTACAAGAGATTCTTTTGTAATATCAAACGTATATCAAGGGTGAGCTTGTCTTATAAAATTCCCTTCATTATTCATACCAATCAACAACATCTTCTTTGATATGCGTAATTTCTATTTTTATAACTTTGCAATAACATACTTGGTTGTGGAGCACTAGCCGGCCTGAGTGTCGGCATGGCGACCAAGTTGGCTGGTTTTGCGGGTGGCGGTGGTGGAGTTACCCCAACTCCCCTGGCAGGACCGCGAGCCTGCGACTCCTTCCACGTGTCCATTTCGACTCGTAACTTTTCCAATTCCGTCTCAAAATCCTTCGCTCTCTTTTCCTCTTTCACGAGGGCCTGCCGATATTGCTGCCTCTCGATATCGAATTGCGCTAATTGCTTCTCTAATTCAGCTTCCATCTGCAGTGACTTTTTACTCTCTTCCTCGAGGCCCTCGGCCATCGAGTCTATCCTCACCTTCTCTTCGCTGAGTATTTGTGCCAAATCCTCAGATCGTTTCCTCTCCTCAATGTACTTCATAATAATCTTCTTACGTTCCGCTAAGAGGAGCAGTACTATCTGCTTCTGTCGATTTTTTTCTTCCTCGAGATGATCGTTGGCCTTCTTTAATTCCATCTCTAGTTTTTTCTTTTCTTGTTTCTCTAATTCTAATTCCTTCTTTAATCTTGTCCGCTCTTTCTCAAGACCATAGGTGATATCGTCACCTTGAGCGGTATCATGTTCGTGTTTCCGCTTCTCTTCCTCCAATTCTTTAATTACCTAAAGATATTTATTCATAATGAGGCAAAAATAATTATAAAATAAAATAATACATTGCAATACTTATGCTATACATATATCGCATTGCTGCTACAATATGTAACAACAAACACGATAAAAATAAGATACATACCGATCTGTGCCTAATTTCAGCATCTCTAAGGACTTTAGTCATCCTACATTGCGCCTTTCTTTGCTGTGTCACTAGTGCTTCTAGACTAGCGACTTGTTGATCAATTTGATTTCCCTCAACACCAATAACACCACCTACTATCGCAATGTCGCGAGCTAATGCCGCATGTGGATCTGCAGTACTACTAAGATACCGGGAACTTAGAAGGTGTTTCATTTTTTCTGACTGAAAGGAAAAACGATGATTGTTATGCAACAAGCCAAACGACCATTACGCGACATAGTCTGGAAGTTAAAAGATGATTAAAGAGCTTGGAGGATTAACACGTCATGCGAGAAATACTCTTAAAATTTAACTCAATATTTTATAATTCCTTTATCTTTTGTATCATTTTAAAAAATAATACAGTGAGATGGTTTTAAAATAAAAGAACATCAAATCGCATTATGTATGCTTTACAGTTATTATCCAACAACTTTATGCATGTTACTGTCCAAGCTGAAAAAACTTGCTACAGTTATGCAAGAGGACAACTATAAGACGCTTCTAAAAACTATCCTTTAGTAACAGTTATATTATTCTGATTACTTTTAATGCTGCTATCACTATGTCTCTCGCTTGGAGCTCGCCTTCCAGGTATCCCAGTAACTTCAGCAAATCAGTTTTGCTCAGCTCCATCTTTGGATTACGCTACAAATATGCACAAAGCACGTGTTAAACATTCCCAAAATTCATCAGCAGTTCATCAGATACCGCAAGGCCTCATCAGGCTCGCAGCTCATCTGACTCTAAAGCCAAGAAGAAGACGCAATGCCAGGAAACGTACCTTTAGAGTATTGGAGGAGCTCTTGTCCAGTGGTTCGATGTTGTTGGCCTGCTGTTGCTGCTGCGATTGCTGCTGGGATTGCGACTGCGACGACTGAGCACCAGAGGCGAGGGTCTGCGTCTTCGCGGCCGAGATGGTGGCCGCGCTGGTCGGGACGGTGGTGCCCGGTAACGGCGCCGACGTCGACGGCGGCCCGTTAGCCGTGGTCGTTGTCATCGTCGTCGTTGCCGACGTGATACCGGGCGAGGTAACGTTGACGGCGCCCTGATTCTGCGATGCCATTGTCGCGCGCGCTCTCTTTCTCTCTTTCTCCCTCACTCTTTTTCTCTCTCGTAGAGGGTGAGCTATCTACCTACCGTCGACGACGACGAGCGGGGGTGTTGTCGTCGTCGTCGTTGCCTCCCGGCTCTGACGCGCGGCTCGGAAAGGACGATCTCGTGAAACTCGCTCACTCGTACGTTCGCACTTCGCTCGGACGCACGAGCTGTCGCTTGAGCGCGCTCCCCAAGCTGCTCCCTACGTCGACTCCCTCACCCCTCGATCCGGAGATTCGCCACGGCCGTCACGGGACGCGCGAGCACCCCCGCCGGACATCCAGCGGCCCAGGACGCTCGCCACATCGCCGACACGGGACCGACGGCCGCGCGTTGTTCTTCTTCCCGTCGTCGTCGTCGTTGTCGTCGTTCTCCTCCTCGTCTTCCTCGTCCTTTCTCCTCTCGTCGTCGTCGTCGACGTCGTCGTCGTTCTCTCGTCGCCGGTCACCTGGGTCCGTTACTCGTCGGATCGGCGCCTCGACGCCGACGGGAACGTATATTAACGTGGCGGCATCCGGCACGGCGGGCCGCTGTCTCTCGCTAGTCTCGCTACACTACGCTCGTCCCCTTGACAAATCAAGCGCACAAAGCGCAGCCAGCTCTACACGGTACCATGGTAGAAATACAAGGGTATGCTCTTGCGCATATTTCCGAACCCAGCCAATCAGCGACTTTTCCAACCTTACGTCACACTGAGCGGCACATTTAAGCAGCGAATCTATAATAGTCATTTATAAAAGCATTTTGAGCGGACAATATGTGAATACAAAATAATGTTGATCATTTATGTGAGAGAAAATTCTGTTTTATAAATAAATAAATATATATGAACAAAAATATATAAATATAAAAAAACGCACGTGACATACGGATAAACGCTCATCGTTTCCCGAATTTGTCTCTCGTTGTAGATGTTAGAAACGTTATTGTTATTTGACGAATTTTATAATTATTTTATGTGGATTTGTCTAAATATATGATATTACAGAAAATATTATTATTATTAAGAAAAAAAGAATTGTGTGCATTGAATAAAAATCATTGCGACGTACGGAAAAATTTCACATAAAACGAGATTTTAATTTCCAGTCATTTATTATTAAAATAATTCTGCGAATTATTAGTTTTAATCAAAACTGGTCGGAAAACGATTGGAAAAGAATTGTCAGCTGAGACGCAAAACAAAAATATATTGTGGCGTACGACATAAAGAACTATATATGCAGAGGAAAGATGCAGATAAAAGATCAAATAACAATAAATGCAAATATTTAATATACAGGTTTTTTATTAGTAAATTTTGACATCTTTCTTCTTTTTTGCCTGTGATTTGCGATTGCAATCGCTCGGTTCATTTCGCGCAGCCTAATATATGTCCTAGTCCTAATGAGGCATAGTAATGCCTCTCTCGGTATTTTAATTTTCAATTGTGGTTCTATTATTTTTGCTAAGTTTTGAAATATAAGATTTTCTTTATTCAAACTGGATCCGTGATATTTAGCAAACTCAATATTCATTATACGAGCACATTGTAATAATTTGTCACTCGGATACATACATTTTCCTCGCGAAATAACTTGCAGCCAATCTTGGTCACCCGTTGTTTTCAATTGACGCGTTTCAATACCTAATGTTTTATCTGTGCTTTTAAATCTAAATGCTACGTATCCGGCTATATATTTTGCTTTATATTTTGCTGGTGTCTGTTCTTCTGTACTGGACGATGCTGCTGTCTGTTCTTCTGTACTGGACGATGCTGGTGTCTGTTCTTCTATACTGGACGATGCTGGTGTCTGTTCAACATCCATCGAAACTTCATTTGATACAGGCAAAGGCATTGTTTCAGCTAACACATTTTCGTTTGATGTTAGTGGAGGTACTGCATGGAGATGCAACGTCGGGATAGCATCAGGATGTATCTTCCTAGTTCGTGTAGGTGAATAACCTAGTAGATGTTGTTGTAAGGGCTTCGTAAAAGCTTCATCAGCAAAATGCTTCGAACATATCCTAGCTGAAGCAAACAAGGTTTAAGATTCTTAAATATATGCTTATAATAATAAACAAGAGAAATCTATACAAAAGTACAAACCAGCTCTATGTACAGGCAATTATTTGCCTCTTTAGGTGTTATTAAATAATACTTGCTGGTCTAAATAAATAAATAAATAAATAAATAAATATTTTGGTGAAATATTTTCTTTTCCGCATGCTTGACGCCAGAGAGAAGAATGAGAGACGACACGGCCTGGTTTTAGGTGATCCGCGAACGCGATACGCCCTCTGGGATCAACGTAAAACGTGCACATGAACTACGTAGCCACCGTCCACGTTTGGGCCACGGGGTAACACATACGTGCACGATTTAGGTTGCGTTCCGTGCTAATGTCGGTAACGCAAAGTTATTGATTTTTCGTTATGTGAGCGAGCGAGAAGGTATAAGAGTGAGCGAGATGACAATAAGAGCGAGCGAGACAGTAATTGGAGTGAGCGAGATGAGAATAACACATGCAGAAGGCTCGGGGGTGGGGATCTGATCGAGGATCGAGCATCGAGTCTTTTCCTTGCGCGCCGTTGTTCTTATCTGGCTCACTCCTGTTACTGTCCTACTCGCTCTTATTAACGACTCGCTTGCTCTTATACCTTCTCGCTCGCTCACGTAACAACTGTGTTTTAAGACCGACACGCTTTAGAAATTATCACATAAAACATTTTTTATATACACCGGGATACACATGTATAAATAAACGATTTACGACAACGAATCGAGAATAATTTTATTCAATGCAACTCGCTATAACTGTTACTCATTATTACTTCTTATAGTACTACTGTGACACTTATATATTATACTGTTTATATGTTGCATCCAGTCGTCCACCGGTCATACTTTTTTCTAACGCGACGATGTATGTACACGCATTTTTTTTTTTTTTTTTTTTTTTTAGCAGGGAGGGGAAAATGCCTGACGCACACCCGCGTCGGCCGTCCGGCGGGGTAGTGTGGGGCTTGCACCCACTAAAAACCCCTCCCCTTTATTCTACAATATTAAGATTTCTAACAATATAGTTTTTTTTTTTTTTTTTTGTTTCCCGTAGGAAGAGGGGAAATGCCTCGCGCATTCTACCGGGGGCCGGCCCCCGGGATATGTGGGGCTTGCACCCACTAAAACCCCTCTCCCTGAAACACAGCACGCTGGACTACAGTTGCCACACGCGGAACTACTCGAGGCATGACATCACGTGAATATAAATAATTAATACATTAATATCTTTGCAAAAAAAAATATATATATGTATATTATTTGGAAATAACTAATTTTTTAAGGCTATGCTATATAAACTATTTATATTTAGCTGATGCGCAATTTAAACATAGAACGCATTTTTAAAAAAAATTTATCAAAAAACGCAGAAAAAAGATTTGAACTTAGAAGTTTTATTTCAATACTTTGTGTTGCTGTTAATGAGCATGACGTAAAGACCACAATCACAGTTGAAATAATTGCATAAATCGTCGACTAGCAGGTCTTGTCACGGAATAAATAAAAAGTTGTAATATGTGATCATGCTACGAAATTGTAAAATCATGCATTTTCTTGTTATCAATGATGCGTAATAAGATGCAAATTATAATAAAGATTTAATTTTTGATAAATTTTTTTTTAAAAATGCGTTCTATGTTTAAATTGCGCATCAGCTAAATATAAATAGTTTATATAGCATAGCCTTAAAAAATTAGTTATTTCCAAATAATATACATATATATATTTTTTTTTGCAAAGATATTAATGTATTAATTATTTATATTCACGTGATGTCATGCCTCGAGTAGTTCCGCGTGTGGCAACTGTAGTCCAGCGTGCTGTGTTTCAGGGAGAGGGGTTTTAGTGGGTGCAAGCCCCACATATCCCGGGGGCCGGCCCCCGGTAGAATGCGCGAGGCATTTCCCCTCTTCCTACGGGAAACAAAAAAAAAAAAAAAAAACTATATTGTTAGAAATCTTAATATTGTAGAATAAAGGGGAGGGGTTTTTAGTGGGTGCAAGCCCCACACTACCCCGCCGGACGGCCGACGCGGGTGTGCGTCAGGCATTTTCCCCTCCCTGCTAAGAAAAAAAAAAAAAAAAAAAAAAAAAAATGCGTGTACATACATCGTCGCGTTAGAAAAAAGTATGACCGGTGGACGACTGGATGCAACATATAAACAGTATAATATATAAGTGTCACAGTAGTACTATAAGAAGTAATAATGAGTAACAGTTATAGCGAGTTGCATTGAATAAAATTATTCTCGATTCGTTGTCGTAAATCGTTTATTTATACATGTGTATCCCGGTGTATATAAAAAATGTTTTATGTGATAATTTCTAAAGCGTGTCGGTCTTAAAACACAGTTGTTACGTGAGCGAGCGAGAAGGTATAAGAGCAAGCGAGTCGTTAATAAGAGCGAGTAGGACAGTAACAGGAGTGAGCCAGATAAGAACAACGGCGCGCAAGGAAAAGACTCGATGCTCGATCCTCGATCAGATCCCCACCCCCGAGCCTTCTGCATGTGTTATTCTCATCTCGCTCACTCCAATTACTGTCTCGCTCGCTCTTATTGTCATCTCGCTCACTCTTATACCTTCTCGCTCGCTCACATAACGAAAAATCAATAACTTTGCGTTACCGACATTAGCACGGAACGCAACCTAAATCGTGCACGTATGTGTTACCCCGTGGCCCAAACGTGGACGGTGGCTACGTAGTTCATGTGCACGTTTTACGTCGATCCCAGAGGGCGTATCGCGTTCGCGGATCACCTAAAACCAGGCCGTGTCGTCTCTCATTCTTCTCTCTGTTGACGCCACTTATTAAACAGTGCTGGATCCTTTGGGAAGGAAAAATATTTTATTTTTTTTCCTTCGATCTTTCTGGTCTTTGCCGGATAGTTCCCACACCCTTTCACATTACACGTCATTGCGTACACTGTAATAATCACAAACGAATTACTCGACATAAACAGCGAACCGAGCGAACGCAGCCATTGCGAATCACCGAGTACATCCGATTCATTCCGATGCTACACGAATATGACGTAAGTTTGTATAAAAGTGGTGGGAATGCGCAGTGGTCTGACACGGTATGAGCATACCCTTGTATTTCTACCATGCACGGTACGGCACGGCCAAGCGAAACTCGATGATCGTCCCCTCGTGAAAGGCGCCCCCCCTTCGATATCTACCATCGATATCGATTCCGCGCCGGGTCGGATATCGATACGGCCGCGGTATCGATAGCGATCGACCAAGTTGCCGCGGCGAAATACGAAACGCCGAAGACGCGCGTCGACGCTCGAGCTCACGGTCTTATGGAGGATTCACACTGCGTCCGATGTTCGACGTACGACGATCCGACATCCAATAGGAAATTTTTGTCTCTAATAATAAATTCTGTTATTGGATGTCGGATCGTCGTACGTCGAACATCGGACGTGATCGGACGCAATGTGAATCCTCCATTACATACAGGTCTGGAAACTCCTGTGTTTTTAAGTGGTGGGGGGTGTCAACGTTAGTGAGGCACGTAGACCCCAGGACCCCTATTCTGTAACTCGTAACGACAGTGTCGGTATCGTTACGTTGTCGTTGCGCAGGTATACTATATGGAAAAAAAGCTGCGCAATGACGACATAACGATACCGACACTGTCGTTAGAGTTACAGAATAGGGGTCCAGTATTGGAGCAAACCTATCGGACGGACGGGAAACTGAGCCGACCGTGACCATGTTCAAATGGTGGTGATCGTGTGTCAAAATTCGAAATCAGTGAAAATCTTTGAAACTTGTATGAGTGAAAGTTAACATAAATTGTAAATACAATGCCAAAAGCGTGCATTGTGCCGAATTGCTGGAAGAAATTTAAGGACAATACAGAAAAATGTTCCGTTTTTAAAGTGCCTCAGGACGAAGAATTGCGTAAAAAATGGGAATCTGCAATTCCCGGCATTGCAGTATTGAAATCGTCGCAATGTGTGTGAGCGTCATTTTGAGCCAACGTGCATCGTGCGAAAATTAGAGAAGCGTGGTCCAGATGGAAAAATTGTCATTGATGTAAGTGTGAATTATTTAAACAGTTTTGTCGATTGCATTTTCGCATTTGCATAAGGTTATGTATTAATTATATAGAATTATATACAATTATATAAAATTATATATCAAAGGTATTATATATATCAATGTACAAAGGTATATAATATATATATATACAGTTATACATACATACATATATACATATATACATACATACATATTATATATGTATATACATATAATATGTATGTATGTATGTATGTATGTATATATGTATATATATGTATATATGTATATATGTATATGTATATATGTATGTATATACATATATCTATATGCACACGCGCGCGCACGCACGCACGCACGCACGCACGCACACACACACACACACATACAACGAGACAATCTTTTTGACAGATTCCTTACAAGCGCTTAATAGCGCTTTGAACATGCATCGGAACGCGGCCTAATTTGATTGGCTCACCCCTAGGTTCGCCATTTTGCCTCACTATCTGAGTCACTCCCCACCCTACAAGTTTCCAGACCTGTATGTAAGACGTGGACACACCTGACCATCTGACCTGACACCCTGTTGAAGGTGGTTGAAGGTTCAAGTTCAATTCAAACCAATTCAAACGAGAGAGTCGGAGAGACTGGAGACTGGAGTACTGGAGAGAGTGATTGTCAGACCACCTAACCACGCGGATGTTCAGCCACCCTGATTGCCATATCGGAAAAAGAGTGATTATATATTGTATATAATATATTTATGTTACTGCGTGTAAAACGAAACCGTCTGTTTGATTTGTTCTCGTGACGTAGTGGACGGTACTGATAGCGAAGTAGAAAAGCTGTTGAGGGACGCCGCAAGAGGCGAGGCCGGTGTGGACGCGGTACGAGAATTTCTCAAGAAGTATCCTGGCAGGGTGGACGCGTGTGCTCCCGGCGGTGAAAGAAAAACGTGCCTGCAGATGGCCGCGTTCCAAGGTAAGCGTGAGCTCTGCACCCTTCTTCTGGACGCCGGTGCCTCTTTGTGTGCGGTCGACGTGCACAAAAATACGCCCTTGCATTACGCGGCATTCGGGTATGTTGGAAATTGTTGCTGGATTTTCCACAGCAGTGTCAGGTTACATCAGTATTCTTTCTCTGTTGGTTAAACAGCAATAAGCCGGAAATAATGAAATTACTGTTATCGCGAGGCGCGGCTATCAATGACGTCAACAAGTACGGAAGAAGCGTTCTGCACGTAGCGGTTAACATGCAGCACGTGCAATGCGTGAGGGTGCTGCTGCGATCTATCAATGTCCTCAATCTCTTCAGACGTAGCGTTCTGCACGTGCAATGTGTGAGGGTGCTGCTGCGATATCACTGCGATGTTAATCTCCAGGACAAGGAGGGAAATACGCCATTGCATCTCGCGGTCTGGCAGTACGTTGAAAATCGTTGCCAGAGCTTCCACAGCAGCGTCAATTACATCGGTATTCTCTCTCTGTTGGTTAAACAGCAATCAGCCAGAGATAATGGACCTGCTGTTATCGCGAGGCGCGGCTATCAATACCGTCAACATCTTCGGACGTAGCGCTCTGCACATAGCGGTTATCAATCAGCACGTGCAATACGTGAGGGTGCTGCTGCGATATCACTGCGACGTTAATCTCCAGGACTGGTGGGGAGCTACGCCGTTGCACTTAGCGACTTCGAAAGGACACTGGTCGCTCGTCGAGCTGCTGGTGCATCACAACGCGGACATCGGCAGCACGGACAAGTACGGTGACACCGTGCTGCATATTGCGATAGCCAAGAGCACGTATAAACAGGCTGCCGTGCCTACACCCGAAAGTAGTCGGGATTCACCGCTTATATATGCTGTACGTCGTCTAAGTTCTTGGACTTTACATTAATACGTGAATCAATTTTGTATACATAGAGTCTTTTCTAACGAACAATGTCTTCTTTTGGACAGATCTGGCAGAACCTGGCGAGGCAAGGTGCAAAGACTGAATTAGCATTAGCTTGTTTCCTAGTAAGCGTGGACAGAAGTTGCAAACTTCTCGAACAGGTCAGAAACAACAAGGACAAGACGCCGCTCGACCTTCTGGAGGGCAATCCCCAGGCCGCTCTGCTCGCCGATCTCTTACGATCTTTCAAATACCAAAGTCACAGCACGCAATTAGAGTAAGACAACAGGATACGTATTTCAAACGGTTTTTTACTAAAACGCGACGTTAAAATGATCTTATATTTTAAAAACTAGTCTTGCAACATTTTCAGAATTACTTAATAGATTTTGACGACTTTTAGAGTTTATCAACGAACGTATGTAAAATGTAATTTGATTCGTTTTGCAGGCTAGAGAATCCACCGACCGGTTACGTAGAGCCTGGAAACCAGAGTCGCATATCTCGAGGAAGCGATTATGTGCAGCATCTGCATAACACGTCGTCGTAACGTCGCCTTCCTCTGCAGACACGGCGCGTGCGAGCACTGCGCTGCACCGCTGAAGATCTATCACATGTGCCGCAAGACGATCACCAAGAAGATCAATTTATATTAGAAGATCGATCGATAATCAACACGCTTATATTGGGACGTTAATTTCCCACGCGGCGCGCGCGCGCACAGCGGGTCTCGGGAGGTAGCGATGATAGATAACAATAGCAAAACGGCTCTGTTGTGTTCAGTTTTGAACAATTTAGACCCTACACAGCTCGGGACGAGAGTCACGTGTTTGGAGGAATTTCTTTACTACATGTTGCACATTCCTCCCGAGATACTCTGTTTACTTGCCTAACGGGGAACTCTGCGGTGTCAGCGTAGGAAAATGTTCACCATTTGATCGTAGCACTACGTGCGTTACGTTGTGTGCTGAAGAAATTAAACTGCCAAAATGTATATTTCTTTTTCACGGCAAATTTGTACGAAAGAGATGAAGCTGTCCATTATATCGCACCATCGTCGTGCCATAGCGAGACAGGTTTGTCCGGACACGAGATAATTCGGTCTTACGTTACCTTTTGTTTTTTTTCTCGGCAATTAGTTAAGTAATCGATTGTTAAAAATTGATATCCGTACGGGGGTATCTTGTGTTCCGACAAACACGCGCGACGTACGATTTTCCTTCCTCACGAATCGGCGTTTTCGCCTGTTCTTTATGCCGTCCATTTTTTATCCGTCTTGAAGAGAGCGCGGATAACGAGCACGAAAGAACTAGAGCTTCTCATCTCAACGTAGGAAACGCGATCGTGCTTATCATCGTGCGACAACAATCATAGGGGCTCGTAGGAACGTTCGTACATATCGCCACATTATTGCGGGGAAAAACAAAGAATACTGCGTTTCCACGTGTTCGAAAACTTCCAAACTGTGCGAACTTCTGCTGCTTCACACGCGCAATAGAAAGAAAGGGGGCACATTTAGGTAATTTAATTCTTAACCTCCCAAGTCTCAATTTTTACATTTGTTAAAATCAAGAAATTTTTTTTATAAATTTTTGCTGAGAGGTCTCTTGTTGGCTGGTTTTATCAGTCTGTCACTTTTTGTTAAATGTTATTAATAGTATAAATTGGGATTGTGTACTATTGTGCATTTGCTATCTAGCAAGACCAGATATTTAATAGGGATTAAATATCACGATGGAATGTTGTCGGTGTTGTAGGTTGCACGAGCATTTCAATCGAACTGGTGAAAGTATCTCTCCATTGATACTTGAAATTACACGAATCTGAGGCAGCGTTTAAATTTTAAATGTATCCCCTTTTCCAATCGCATTTGCATCGTTCGATGAACGTTCTGCGTAATGATTAAAGACAAGCTAAAGGGAAACACTCAGTCTTAGAGCCAAATTTTCTAGATAGTTTGTATAAAGTGATTCGTTTGTGATCGAAAACGACAGCAGTGGAACCACGTAATTTTAAGCGCGCTTCTCATCACAAACGCACCTTCAAACGAAAAGAAAGTTCGCTTTATAATAAAGAAGCCGACATTTGCCGAGGTACAAGCTTATTATTAAGGGGATCCTAAAGTGAAGGCTGAACTTCCTCGACGTCGGTAATGTCAACATTTCTAATTCTGTTTTCTTGTCATATATCTATATCTGTCCTTGTCTAACGAGAGGCATCTGTCTTTGTTCGATTACTGCGCCATCTCTTACCACACGCAATATTGTTTATCCTGTCAACCTGAATGTGCTTTTGCACATATAAAAGTTATATAAAGTAATCTTTTTTTCTAGGTTTTCAATCTTAGATCTAATTGCACGATATTGTTCTTAAATGTTGTCCCTAGGTCATGCCGGTCTAATTTTGTGGATATTTATCGTGGAATTTTTGTACAAAGCAAATATTGTCGTCACGTATACCAAAAATTAACAAAAATATTAATTTTTTTTCGTTTTCGATATAAATTTGACCACCATGACCTAGATTTTGATGCGTACTTTAATTCTAGACAAGAATTTTGCATTTCTATAAAGTCAATTAAAAGATTAGTGCTAAGACCGTGGTGGTAATTGAACGAAGAAAACGAAAATTGTCGGGCAAAAATTTTCCACGAACCTGGGGATTCCCACAAATTCCCTATACTGTAGCCAATCACGTTCGATCAGATTTGTCTGCCTTCTGTGGACCTCTCCCCTCTACGCCGCAGATGGGAAGTGGGAATTGGGAAAAGCCTGCTCACGCCTCACGCTACTCACGTCTCGGCGACGTCTCTGTTGGTCTCTGTCGTCTGCGTTTCTCACTCTTGCGACGTCGATGACCGTGGCGAGGGCGAGGGTGGACCGTCGGGACCGTCGCATGCATATGGTGCCGTGTGTGTTTGTTATCGCGGGTGTTATGCGGACGGTGCTGTCGGTGTTGCGAGTATCGGTCTCGGTATAGTTTTCCCACCCCCCTTCCCCGGTCGCGGTGCGAAGCGCAGGATGGGCAACCAGGTGGCACGCGTCGGGAACACGTCGCACAGGAAGGTGGAATCCGGGGCCGCGACGGGCGCCGGCAACGCGAATCACGGCACGAACGTCGCCGCCTCCGCCAACGCCGTCGTCTCCAAGAGCGAGCCGGACCATCCCAACTCTCACACGCAGTTCTTCCCGATCGAGAGCCTGGCCAAGGTACGACGGTCCGCTCCGGTCCCTTCAAAACTGCCCTCGAATCCTGATAGCTTGATACCCCTGGATCGAAAATTGCCTGGATAGAACGTGGAAGCGATACAGCAGCGATCCTCGATTGCCAAATTATTTTTACAGCTGCTTGGGAGGACGGCAAAAATAGCCTATTGCCACCCAGGATTATTTTTCTCCTTAGAATTATTTTTCCTCCTTAGGATCATTTTCCTCATTAGGATTATTTTCTTTGCATCGATTTACTTTTGTCTGTGCTACGACTCACAGAAGTCGTTTCACGCTCTTCTTGTAACTGCTTAGAATATTTTTATTATTATTAAATATTTCTCTGGATATTCTGAAATCTTGAACATCTCGAATCGTACCTTTTTTTCTGCCAATTATATAAGTTAACTATTGATATCTGAGATTGTAATCAAGTGGAAGTATAGGGGTTGATTCAATTAAGTAATTATTTTTTCTGCAAAGACGCTTGATAATATTAAAAACAAAAGTGTGGCAAGTTATTCAAAGATTGTTCAACGAGATTCCCACTGTCTCTATCTACTATCTAGCGAAACCACTGCCAAGGGAACGGGCTTGGAAAAATTAGCGGGGAAAGAAGACCCTGTTGAGCTTGACTCGATAAAAAAATTATGCCTGAGATATAGAATTGTAGAATTGGAAAACTGAGCAATTGCTCTCCCAGTTCCTTTATTTTAAGATCCCAAAACTTTCCACAGTTTCTATTTCATCATGTCATTTTTTCTGTCTATAGGTTAGTAGCTATATGTATTTTATTTATCTTATACATGACTAGCTGTTATCAAATGCTAGCATTACCTGGCTAGTTTTATTTATATAATGAAAACATGCATGGGTAACCTTCCTTTGCAAACAAAAGTATAGAAATTTATGTTTACGACGTATTCTTTCTTTGATATATTTTAATAGTCTTTTTATGCAGATAAGCAACGTATGTCCCCCTTCTTTGGAAAAATGTAATATATTTAGTGGTATTTCTAAAACATGTAAATCTCTTTATTTTGCAGACACTGTCACAGCTCTCCTACCAAGAAGGACATGTTAACGGCATTACCAAGTCTGTATTTGAAAAGTACTTATTTCCCACTCATCCCGAACTGAGCGAGAAACTCTTCACTTACTTACACCACAATGCCCATGGCACGACTGCGTACATAAGTACAACAGCTTTCAAGCAGCAAGCTGAGAAATTTTTGTCAGTAATGAACGACCAAGCTATACTGGAGAATTATATAAAGATGTATTCGAACATAAAGAATGGCGGTAATGTTACACCCGAAATGCTGCGAGCGTTATTGATGTGTTGCTACCAGCTAGCGATGGAGAACAACAGCACCAGTTTGTGCCTTCACTCGCAACAGATAATAAATGCAGTTGTTGTCTCATGCGTTAGTAAATTTAATAATGCGATACGGTATAAATATGATTATTGAACTATTCATTCATTCACTATTGAACATGGAAGCACGGTCTATCTATACTAAATTGGTGCTTTGAGTGAATAATTCATGTACAAATGTACGATATGCAATTATTCTTGTAATATTTTGCAGTTTCACGGCAAGACTAGCTTGTCTACAAGTTACGTGAGCAATTGGATTGGGCAACATTGCCCACGCCTAGTATACGGCCTACAGCGATACGTAGTACACGTGTTAACAACTGCTTATCGCAACGGTAAAGCGCTTCTGTCGAAGGAGCAACCGCAACCCCCTGTGGAGATGGTTACTCCTGTATTGGAAAAGTCGGATCGAGAGTTTCCTCAAGCAAACTTGTTACCGATAAGCTATGTCTGGTTGTTGTCGTGTACACTGCCGCAGTGTTACCTCCAGGTACGTTGTCACAGAGCAGGCAGTACAAATAATCGATACTATTATGCCCCGCCTGTAAAGTATTTTGCATAAAGAGATTAATTATTATTGCCGATAAGCCTAGTATTGTACACATAACTAGATCTACGTATCTATGTGCGTGGTGTGTATGTGTAGACCAACGATTCACCGAAGGACATAACTCACGCTTTGATAGCCAGAAGAACAGGCAGTATTTGTCCAAGGCATTGGACGTTACTGTACAATAGCGGGGAGCACGGGACCGGGGCTAATCGCTTCCTTCACCATGTATTAGGTTACAGAGGTCCCACTCTGCTAATAATAAGAGCCGCTAGTATAGAGAAGGATGAGGAATGTCCGACGTTTTGCGTGTGCTCGGCCGTCGAGTGGCGAGAGAGTCATCTCTATTGGGGCGACGAAGACTCGATGGGCATTCAACTGATTCCGTCCTATAAAATCATGGAGAAAGGCCCGAAAATACTATACCTGAACACGAATATCAGGGGCTACCCGCACGGCTTGCGACTTGGTAGCGATCCGCGTTCGCCGCTTATCAGTATCGATGAGTCATTCCACTCCGTGTCTATCGCCGGCGCGCCCTATCGCATCGCCAGCCTGGAAGTCTGGGGTTGCGGCGATACGAAGCTGAGGTAATGTCTTGAAAACTGCGAAATGTAACCGCATGTCGATGCGGATTGCGATAACGAGAGATGCTATTGCGTTTGCAGGGAAAAGCAATTGGAGATCAAGAAGTGGCAGGTGAAAGAAGCGGAGAAGCAGAGGGTTGTCAAGTTAAGCGCGAGCGAGTGGTTGGACCATCCCGATCGTTACTTGCTAGAACTGGCTGGTAGAGCGTCTTACAATGAGTCTAACAAATAGAGCCGCGAGAGGATAACGCGCGTGCTCAAACAGCTGCTCATATTACTATTTTACTTTGTAAATATGTATATAGCGTCAAAAATATCACCGGGATTTCTGTACTTACGTGGTGTACGAAGAACGTACGCATGAAATGTGATTATGTGACTTACGTGAAATACAGGGACTTATGCTTGACGTACTTAAGCACAAGTGCCAGTTTGTAATCGTCTATTTATTTTTCTTTTTTTCAGTATTTCCTTATAAAATGTTATTTCTATTTTACAAATATCACTTTCATTTAGTAGATTTATCTATGAAAAGATTATTTCTTAGAGTATTTTTTAAAAATTTTTAAATGTGCAATTTTGTTTTAAAAGTCGTGTTTTTATCTGATTTTCATAAACTTAACTTCGTAAATTTTACTTTAATAATCAATATGCGGAATCATCTTCTGATTATACAAAGGAAAATAACATGCATATATATGAAATTGAAAAATAAATATATTTTTGTACCAAATCTCGTACATACTTATATCTATAATTATTTCGATATGTCGCGTATTTGTATATTCGCAAGGTTTTCGTTAATTGTACACTCGGTGTGATCGCGTGATGCTATTTTACGAAATCGTAACAAAACGTGATGGTTTTATCAGTCTGTTTTTCAATGCTAAACTGTTCGATTAGTCTTAAAGTTCTTTATCACGATTGTCAAGTCTCAATTCACTGATAAGACTTTTCCAGCTAAAGTCTTCCTCGCCGTCGATCAGATTTATCACATTCTTCTCGTCGATGACGTCAAACAAATTTTTGAACGGCGTGTATTTCAGCAATGTGATTTTATCAGCGATTATGATTAGCTTATGCCTCGCGCGAGTGATGGCCACCGTCAAACGTCGCTGATCGTCCAATATCTCGAATTCCTTCTTCGTATCGTACTCGACACTCTTCGTGCACGAATACAATATAACGTCCTTGTCGCGTCCCTGATACTGATCTACGGTATTCACTTCCACCTCCTTATCTATGGTCTTTCTTAATAAATTTATATGAGCATTATAAGGTGCGATAATTCCTATATTTCTAGCATGTACGCCCGCTTCGGTGAGTGCCTGGACGAGACGCAAAGTAATAGCGACTTCCCAGACGTTGGAGTACGCTTGACTCGACACAACGTCTCTGTTCCCAGTCTCCGTGTTCAAGTTGTAAGTGCTACCGGTATTGAGTACCATCACCGAATCGTCCAAGTGCCTGGAGAGCGCGCCTCTTATCCACCTCTCGCAGGTCGAGAGAACTTGCTCCATATTCGTGCCGATCAACGTCGCGTTCTCCACCTGCTTGTTGCCCGACACCAGCTTGCCGCGATACGTCGCGTCGTTGGCCAACCTCATGATCCTCCCGTTCATTCTGTACTGCTCCCGCAGATTGACGGTGTTGTCGTCGCTGTCCAGCCTCACGAATAGTGATTCGTCCGCGCCGAGTTTCGCTGCGGTCTTGCTCTTGATGACGGGCGGCAGCTGATCCGGATCCCCGACAAGGACGAACTTGCGCGCGCTGTATAACGGTCGCAGCACCGTGGGCTGCATGATCTGCGCGCTCTCGTCGATCACGCATACGTCAAAGCTGCGTCTCCTAATGAGAGCGTGATACGCGCCGTAGCAGGTCACGCCGACGACCCGTTTGCTGTTGTAGAGTGCCTCCAGGTCCTCCGGCGAGTCGCAACTCTTGATCGCGTATTCCTCGCTCTTGCATGTCAACAGGGGATGGATCTGCTTTGTCGAGCCCAGACGCAGGAAGTCGATGTTCCGTTCCAGCAGTTTGAGGAGAACATTGTCCACCGCGCTGTGCGTGTGCGCGGTAACCAGCACGCTGGAACCCAACTCTAGCAGCAACTCTATCAGAGCCACCAGGGTCTGCGTTTTTCCGGTGCCTGGCATGCCTTTTATCAGAACGTACTCGTGAGCGGCCACAGCCTTCAGCACGGCTCTCTGTTGACTCTCGTTTAGATCGCTTATTATCTCAGTGCTGGCCGACACTACCGAACGTGGCAATTTTTCTGTAAACGTAGCCGGTCTTTTATCGATGACGATGCGTCGTAGCTTGACGCACGTCTCGTCGTTGCTCAACAGACCGGCCACGTTCGCGTAATTGAACGTAGACAGACCCGAAGAGGGAAACTTATCGATGTGGAACGTGGAATGTGCGTACAATCGCGTAATATCTTTGTCCAATAGGACTGCGACGATGTCATGCGAAACGTGCATTATATGTCCGGCGGCTATATTAACTCGTGCATCCGTGCTAACAATAATATAATCGTCCTCGGCAAACGTGCCGCCGAGCACGCTGTTCTCGATCGTCTCCCCCTTAATGTTGACGCGTGCAAACTTATGCTGGTACCTATCATCTCGCTTCACCACCCTGTCGATGGTCTTCAAGTTGCAGATACACGTCCCTCTCGCCTCCCTCTTCTCGGGACTTGTCGTCCATACGCTGCTTAAACTGCTATTACCGTTCTCGTGGCTTTCTTCCAGTTGCAATAATGCGATCCACTTCATAATGTAATCCAAATGACTGCTCTCGAAGTCGTTTCGCAGCTCTTCGATTAACGCCGTTAGTGGATGCGACGGTGACAAATTCGCGCTCGGGTCCTTCGCCAAATACGCACAGCACAGAGCCTGATAGGAACATCTGCCGCACGCGCTGTGGTGGTTTATCGGCTCAGGCAATTCCATCGCTTTTAGGTCCGGCTCCGAGTTAATATTCTGTAGGTCTTCCGGTTTTTTAGCGAAATAATGCGCCAGGGTATTGCGCAGCAATATCAAGTCCCTCTTTTCGTGATGTCCGCTTTTAATTTCCCGCATCTCGTTCTCCTTTAGATACAACAAAAGTCCGGTATCGATATCCTGATCCCTGAAGCCCATCATCATGAGATAGAGAATAACCTGGCCCCTGTGCTCGAAGGAGTACGAGGCTCTCCCGGTTTTCAACTCCAGAGGCATGATCCTCCTTCTCGAATTGATGTTCACCTCTGCCGTCACGTCTATCCTGCCCTTTATGCCTAATTTCGGTATGTAAACGCTTTCCTCAATGTCCTGTATGCTATCAATGCTCCCTTGAAAGTTGTCCTTCAGATTGCTTATGTGCTGCTGCTTGTTACCCTTAATGTAATGCTGAATGAACTCGAAAATTCTCGGGGCATACTCCGTCATGCGTTTCCGACAGTCCGCGAGCGACAATTCCGACGCGTAGAGATAGTTTATCGTGTCTTTCGATCGCAGAATATCGTCCCGCAGTTTCATCACGTCGGACAGCGTGCAGATATTTTCTCGCAATGCCTTTTGCAGCCATTGATGAACCAAAGATCCCACGGTCATCACGGAATAATCGCCGTCCAGATTTGGCAGTGACTCTATCTTCCTGAACTTCTCGGTCAGCACCGCTCGCCTGTTGCAAAATAAACCACTCGTTATTGTCGTGCCCGATATCAGCAAATCAGGCTGCGTCACGAGGAGGCCGTTATTGTTATCCACAACCCATTGCCGTGAATCCTTCTTCGCCTGTATTGTGACAATATCATTAATCTTCATTTGTGCATCCTTCCAAAATCCTGAACATGCAACAGTGTCGATACTTTCAGACTCCAAGTGCTGCACCGTTAAAACAGTAACTCTCGATTCGTGCTTGACATCAGTTATCTTACATCTCTGCAACGTGGTGAAATCAATCTGCGCGTGCCACTCCTGATCGAAGAAGCCGTCGAGCTCGTCCCCGTTCATCATCACGGAAAAGTCGTCGGAAGATTCCACCTTTAAATCGTGTAGCTTAGCTTTTTCATGCCTAGACGGTTCCACGGCGGACAGGGACGACTTCAAAGCAGCGGTATTTAACTCTTGCGTTTCTTTAAGAACATGACCGTTACTATGAGTAATATCTGAAACATTTATGTTTTTAATACTGACAGAGTTTTGTGAACAATTTACACATTGCTCGTTTTTCGCCGCATCTCCCTCCTTCTTATTAACTTTCTGAAGTGCCGCATCCCCATTGCATGTTCCTTTATTTTCCTTAAAATTACTACACGGATCGTCCAAACCTTTCACTACAGATAATAATACTGAGTTCTCATGAGTGTCGGAATTTCCTGTCTTTGCAACACAGTGTTCTTTCAATGGATCTTCGTTCATATTACATTTCTTCTTAACGTTCAAATAGGATTCTTCGTCAAACGTATTATCTCTTTCCTTCCTTTTCCTTTCAATCGAGGCTTGAGTTGAAGAGTTTATATCTGATATCTTTTCGTTATCTACCGCAACCTTGGGAACTTTTGTAAAAAACGACGATATCTTTGTCTGAGATTTATTAATACCAGCGGCAGAAATCTGTAAGCAAACGAAAAAGAACAGTTTATCACACAAATTAATTTTTTAGGCTACTTTTTTGTACATAAATACAAATTGTATGCTAATGTAACGTTATGTTCTATTATACCTGTGCTAGATTTTTCTTTTCTTGAATCTAGTTTAGAATTCAGAAGTGGAAGAATCGTGTTAAAGTTCAACATTAATATTTTATAATAATAAGAAAAAGAATAGGAATATAGAAGGACAGAAAGATAGTAATGAGTATCAAAACAACATGCAGATACACAGTCGCAGAGAAATAATACTCATTTTCCTCACCTTCCTCTGCGACGACTGCGACAGCTGACGTTTCTTCATGTTTGCGTATAATGTATGTACTCGAAGTGACTTTACGTATATCTCTTATACGCATCAATCTAAAGTGCTATCGTTCCCGCGTAAACGTGCCGCATGGACGTCGCCATTTTAACAGCGCGGCCGCGTTTCGTAAACATGAGACACGTGCCTACCTGATCAGCTGTGAATTGGACTTACGACACGTAATGCGAGTTTTTGACGCCAGATGCCCCAAATGGTATGTGATTGTGATTGATCATTTGGGCCGATTTCAGCCCTTCGTCTCTTTTTAAAAAAGGACATCAGTTAGAAAGAGATGTAAAGTAAGGGTGCGTTCCCACTATACGTGTCGCGCGTCGCGTCACGACGCCGCGTCATGAGTTATCTAATCAAAACGTTTCATTTTATGACGTCATTTCCAACGCGAGATCTTGTCGGAAATGACGTCATAAAATGAAACGTTTTGATTGGATAACTCATGACGCGGCGTCGTGACGCGACACGCGACGCATATAGTGGGAATGCAGCCTAAGTTTAATCGGAGCGGAGGATCAAGTTAATCGGGGACGGTGAAGTGACAAAAATTGAAATTTTTTAAAAGAAGGGAAGAGAAATAAGCAGAAGAAAGACGAAAAGGAGAAGGAGGAAGCTAGTGTGAAGCAGCGAAGATGTAGTAAATATTTTATTATTTGTATATTATTTCCGTGTTACATGCGAAGTTAATTATATTTTTTCCAATAGTCGAATCGTACAGTTTTATTCCATTCATTTTGAATTTTTGTATCAATACGTGTGTACAGTACAATCCCCAATAGCACCAATATCCTATAAATATTCATATAACGTCTATGGGCATTCTGGACATAATATGGACATCCATAGGATTGTGTGCTGTCTGGGATATCTCGTCGCGATAGAAAGAAAATTCAAACTAAAATATTTCTCTTAATTCAGGAATTTAAGTCAGGTTCACAGAGGGGTGGTAGTGTGGTCTTTGTAGTAAAGCGCCAGACTCCGTAACTCCGAGAAACCGGGTTCGAGTCCACCTGATCACAGGAATTTTTATATTCCAAACTGCACCCCCCGCACGAGTTGGGCTCGTGCGGAGAAACTGGGCTATCTTTCGGAGGAGACATTACATTTGAAATTGGTCGTCAAGCTTGAGGAGCTTGGGAGTAAGACGGTATTGATGATTTCTCTTGAGAAAATTGGTGTAGATGGTGTAGATGTAGATTGTTGTTAGATAATAGAAAATGATGTGAACCACCAACAGTTTGCCTTGTTTGCCTTGTTTTATATTTAATTTCAATTCTACATCTGAAAACATTATATCATGATGTGCATATCAACTATAGTGCATCTATAATTTTTTAAATTTGTATAAAATGTTTTTTAATAAGTGCACTTTGTTAAAAGTTTACAGTTTTGTTTTTCACTTACCGTTTAGCAGCTTGTGGTAACTGAATAGAAAACTTACTTCCAAAAGTATCGTTACGTTCAGATATTTCACGTCTTAAATCAATTCCAGTAACTACATCTGTGACCTCTGATATATCAAGTCTGTAGCTATCTAAAATCTAATTGTATTATATCACAAATTATTCAAAACCCTGGCTCTACTACTTCGTTACTTGAAGGTTCTATTTTTTTTATAGTCAAAATCGCTTTTCCCTTAAGAACTTTTTGATCAAAATCCACATTCAGTTCCAAATGAGTATCAATTACACGTGCAAATTCTGATGATTAAAAAATATAGAAAATAAGTATATTTTTAAATAGTAAATGAGAATATAAAAGTAATAAGCATAAGCACGTGACAAGACTTAACATATTGTAATTAAAATAATTTATGTTAATTAAAAATGATATTGTTCTTACGATAAAAGTACTTTTTTGAGAGTTTTATGCAATCATTTAAAATTTAAAAAAATTTTTTTTAATGTATGTTTAAGAGGGCAAAATGTTGCAGTTTCATAAATGGCAATAATTATGACCCAATTTTGAAAATTGAGAATTATTAACTTAAATTACTGAGACATAACAAGTAAACTAAAAAGACTTCTCTGTTTTTTTCAGATCTTTAACAGTTAATTTTAAATGTTTATTATATTTCTACTGTATATTTCTATTGTAATTAATTAAGTAATTAAAATACCTGTTTGTCTCACATGAGAGTGCGGGTCTCCAGGTGATCGAGCCAATCGAGAGAGAGAATTCTTTTCTTTTAAATTGTACTTTCTGCTTTACTCCGTTTCTTTTATTTCTGCGTTTGAAATTTTAAGTTATAACAAAATAAGAATATTAGGAAGCATTATTGCGAGACGGTTATGTTGAGCATTTTATACAGGGTGTTTCCGAATTAAACGGCCAAACTTGAAATATTAATTTAGGCCTTCAAAACAAAGAAAATTTTTTTATCTCTGGAGGTATTATTGCAAACACTGTTCAACAGATTTTGACTTCTAAGTTATAGAACTATTGTAAATGAATAATTTCGAAATAATGTTTATCCTTTTTACTGCTTTTTAGTAATCGAAATTATAATAATTATTTTCTTTACTACTTTACAGTAATCACAATTTAAGTATTTAATATTTTGTTTAAGCAGTAAAAAGGATAATTGTTTTAATTTTAATTACTGTTTTTATTACTGTTTAACAGTAAAGAGAATAAAAATACTTTTTTTTTATTTTGACTACCGTTAAGCAGTAAAGAGGACAATTATTTTAATTTTGATTACTGTAAACCAGTAAAGAGGATGAACCTACATTATTTCAAAATTACTTATTCTAATTATAGCCCTATAATTTCAGAGGTCAATATCTCTTGAACAAAGCGTACGCGAACAGAGAAAAATTTTTTGCTTTGAGATTGTAAATTTCAAGTTTGGTCATTTAACCTGACACCTTGTGTCTGGTAATAGAGTAGAAACAACAGTGGAGGATGCAGTTTGAAGTAGTTTGAAATGCCACGCGATAAGAACTTTACAGAATTACTAAACATGTATAATATACACATACCTATACCAGTACGTGAAAAAGTAGTATCTTTAGAGATTAATTATCATAATCATTCTGCGCACGTGTGCGGCATGCATGCGACACGTGCACTACATGCGTCGCCATATGTCTACGGCTACGACTACGACTACGGCTTTGACCTAAACGTCGAATATATTCGAACCATATCTAAATATGAAATAGCCTTTAGACGTAACCCGCCTTACCGCGCTTATCCATACCCTCCGTAGGGTTACGCTCGATCTATCTCTTCCTTAGTTTATCTATCTGGAAATTATGCAATATATTTATATAATTTAACACCTAAAGGATATATTAAAGCTATTCTATGAAGTATACGATATTATAAAATATTGCAAACATTTTTTTTTTAATCAATATTTAAAAAATATGACAACCCGCCCCGCTCCTACTGAGGTGTTCCTTAAAAAATTACTTTTGCAAACTGTTTCTATGTGTACAAAACTTTGCTTATATGACTATCAACATAATCACATTAATATAAAATTCTTAGAGAATGTATACATATTTCTTATTCATATATACATTAATATATTATACTCCTTAGCGTTTTCAAATCAAGATTTGGGTTTGTTTACATTTTCTATATCATTTCTTATGTAAAATATATTAAATATCTATGTTTTTACGGTTGTGAGGATGGTAATTTTGGGAGCTAATTAATTTATTTAACTTTATCGCAAATTCGCCGCGAAACGTATAATTTTGCAGACATTTTTGTAGCAACTAAAATCAGGCGAAGGTTAATCATTATGGGGGCATATACACCTAGCAGGGTCCAAAAAATCGATTTTTGAATTATTTACATATTGATAAAGTTTAATATTTCAAGAATATCTGGTGCAAATTTTAGGTCAAAATTCTGAAAAAACGACAAAGTTATAGTCCTGACAGTACATTGGTGCGTCGCCCCAACGCCCGCGCCACGGCCGCACGCCGCTCAGGGTTAGAGACCCTCTTCAGACCCTTTTCAGACCCTAATCAGATATGGCTATAGGAGGGCCACTTGTGATTGGTCTACCGTTTCTCGTCAAAAGCAAGAGAAATATAATATGAAAGAGAAAGAAAAAAAGATATGAATGTATATCGATTTCTCTTTCTCTCTTATATTTTTCTCTCTCGCAGGACTTTGACGAAATTACCTGATGGCCAGACCCTAATTATAGGGTCTCTACTCAGGATTACCGATATCGCCCGATCGTCCCTTCGGTTTTGTGTTTGAGTCTATTGTGTTCTTCCGTTCTAACGGTATTGCATTGGGAGCTTTCCAGCAAGCGAAATTTTTTAATAAAGAAAATTGTTAACTTTCTTCAAAATGTATATTTTTAACTGCAAAAAACCACAATCTGATAACTCCAACAGTTTCTCAGATATTACCATTTCTTTTTGTCTTCTAGGTGCATATGCTCCCTTAATGGACCAATTGGAATTTGTAAGGGATAACTTAACGTCATAGCTGTCGCGATAAACAACAAAAATTGATCTCCTAGCATTGAATATGAGTATTATGTAATCCAAACTATTCTGACGCAATTATTTAAAGAAGAAGCAACGGGAATTTATTACGTACTCGCATATTTACAATTTGATCTTTATTATACCAATTGATTGCTGATGTTCCAGTTGAAGCAACTACTTCACTTTATTATGAGAAAAAATTTAACGAAAAGTTCATGCAGAGATATGTAAATATTCTATATACATCGAAAGAATCTAGTTCGTATGCTTAAGAATATTCTATTTAATTAATATTTTTTTTCTTTTTACAAAAAAATTTTTAACGACCCAATAAGAATTGTCATCATATCCTGTTGCGCACCAACTCGTTTACAGTCTTTAGACCTGTAATTCACAAACAAAATAAACAATTTTTTAAATTTTAACCAAGTTATCTCGCAAAACATGTATGGTATAAAAATCTATTTTTGCCACATTTTTTTCGATAATATATACAACATTTGTATACTCTTTTTCTCTATAATAAATAAATTACTTTGTACGTCAGTTAATATTGACTTACTTTATAAAAAGGAAAGTTGATTCAGTTGTTAATGCGCGTCAATTTAGGTGTAGAATTGATCTTATTCGTTTCTGTGTTTCATGAAAGAACTTTTTCTCGTTGCGTTTATATGCTTTGGTCGTTATTAGACCCATTTCTTTCCATTCGTACATATCTTCAAATATAGAACACGCATACTTCGGCATACCAAAGCGAATGGCGAAATTCAAGGCGGTATTAACTATAGGTTTCCATCGATTTTTTATACACAAACGTATCCAATGGAACCTGAGAAATACGTATGCGTTACATTACGCAATTATAAACTGGTCTAAACACAAATATACATATTTACCGTATTTCATAATTACGGACATGAAAATCATAAAGATTTTGCATTATATCTAGCTTGGCCGCAGTCAGTTTCGATTTATGTAAACAGTTTAAAAATATTATTTTCTGAAGATCAGAAAATTTCTTTACATCTAGGATGAATTTACGAGGTATATCGATATCGATATCATTCCAATTCTCCCATTCATCTGCTAACTCGATACATACGATTTCAATCGGTGTTAGAACCGAAATGACGAGCGGCTTATAGAATTTTGTTGTAAAAAAAATCTCCAACTCCTGAAAACAACATCGAAGTCATTATTTCTAATGATAAAATGCTGTAAAATTGTAAGTTATTTGTATAAAAAAGTGTTACCTTCACTTTTTCAGGAAAGAAACTATACAAGTGTTCCTTCCAATCATCAGTCTTTATACTTTTAAATGCAAATTTGTCAAAATAAGATTTAAGAAACCGGTCCAACATCATAGGTCCTCCTATATATTTCTCTAATTGTTCCATGACAATACATCCCATTTCGTAAAGCGTATAGATACTGACAATCCATTGTGGCGATGAAAACATAGACTTCTCAAATTTTGGTGGTTTGCTTTGTAACGAGCCGTTCTTTATTTCGACTGTTTCAATCTATAATACATTGCAGATTCAACAAATAATATAGTAGGAGTATATACGAACATGTGTGTGTAAAAAATTGTTATCTGTCATCATATTCAACATTAATTATTTATCACTCTATTTGCTTTATCTAATCATAGTTAATACTTTACTTGTCTTTCGTATTCGGGATACATATTGTTTCGGAAAAATTCTTTTATTTCTTTACTAAACATCATTCTCTGTAGAATTCTTCTGTAAATAAGTATACTGAAACTCTTATGCAACCAAAGATCATTATAATGTGCACATGTAACTAAAATTCCTGCCCAATTGTGAGCGATGTTCCGTGCGAGTGAACTGACTAAAGTCATATCTGCGCCAAGTAGAATCGGCGAAATAAATGCCACACATGGACATTCTATTTCAAAATGGCCGATACTCGGTGGAAGTATGCATATATCGTATGTACCTAAAGATATCATCTCAGATATAGTAATAGAAAATAGTAATAATTAAAAAATAGGAGAATTTATCGTTTACAAAAATCAAATTCATTATATATACATATATATATGTATATATATATGTATATATATATATATATATATATATATATATATGTATATAT